TGGTCATAAAAGCGTTTTTGTCGATGTTTTGTATCCACAAATACTTATTGAGACTCGTTTATAAACCTAGACGGTGTTGAAGCCCCGGCTCGGAGTGGCTAGCGTGTTTCTAATCAGATAATGTTTATTTAGTAGTCTCAGCTCTAAACGTTGTAATTGAGGGTTTGACCTTCCTCCAAGTCTTAAAATATTCACTCTATTTAGCGTAAGGTGTTAAATAGCCATGTTAAATCTGCAATCAGATAAAGTATGTGTTTCCACATTAAAAACACAGATTAAACCATTGAATTTGAATTAATATCGTGAGTATACTTAGCCCATCTTAAGCGAAAGCTTATTTTGATGTGTGTATTATTTCGATGACGATTGAATGCGCCAGTGTCAACTAAATGTTTCTCTTTTGTTTTAAGACTGATTTTACAAATGTTTAACCTAATTTTTCTTTTAACACGTTGAGTGTTGATGACGGGAATTCCCACCATTGCTTAACATTGAAATAAATGCAACTTTCATGTTTAAGCATGTCGATCGCACTAATAATACACCAGAGGTCAAGAACCAGTTTAAAGATATTGTTATGTTTAGCTAGAGTTAAAATAGTTTTAAGTCAGTTAAATACTAGAAACCAAGAGTAATCAACGACTTGGCTGATCAATGATAAATCTCCGAGGGAATTTGCTTTCACGATTGTACTGAAGGAATTTCACAAGTGGAATAATTATCCCTGCGGATGGCTGAAGAGGTGACTTCAGTGGTAGTGACTTGATATGTAGTCTACAGTCAAAGTCTTGGACATGTTGTTACATAATTCGTACTCATGCAGAATGGATTGAGAGAGCTGGGTGTAGTTTTTAACCTTAAAAAGATGAGTTCTCAGGATAAAAACTGGATGGGTAGCTGAGTGGATAAAGTGCTCGCCTAACAATCCTAAAGTTGCCGGTTCGATCCTGAGAAAAGTCAATAGCTTTTTGATGGTTCGAAACTGGACCAGGCTGTCCCTAATTATTGGGCTTTAAATAAACTAGCTGTTACCCACGGGGCTTTACCCCGTTTGACTTCATAAGTATTAATAAAACTATTGATTGGTTAAGTCATAGATAAAACATACTCCGTTAAGTTAAGCTGAAATAAAAAAAAAAATAAAAAAAAACAGAATGCAGCATTACAAATCACACCAGATTTTAATAAGGTAATAAATTGAAAGAATAACATACAAAATAATAAGAACAGCTGAGGTATTTTTAACGTAATACGGATAGTTCCCTTTGGAAAGCAATTATGACCTTAAAGGGCAGTTTATGAAAAAATGGATAATATAGAGCAAGGTTTCTCGTCATGACGAACATTTTAAGTATATGGTTTATGGTGGTGTGACTTGTAGTTTTCTCAAAAGTTCATGGATACCTTGGGATTCATATATGGATGATCCTGTCTGATGAAACAGCTGATCTCAGTAAGTAACAAAGCTACACATATATTCATCCTCCATTTATATTTGGGTTAAAATACGCACCTAGGTGGAACAGGCAACCTTTAGATTTCCAGGGAAGCATTAAAACTATCAAATAATTATGGTACAATACTACGGACAATTGATGAAACTTTGAGGCCAAGCCGGCGGAGATAATGGTGTTTATGCGAGTGACATTGTTTACCTCGCACGTGGTCCTATGTTTAGCGCAGATCTGACAGTTGAGTGTGTGTGAGTGTGAGTGGTCAGTTGTGTTGGACCCTTGCCTGATCACTCACGCCACTCAGTCTGCTCGTCCGCCGCTGGGGGCTCCACCGTCGCGACGCCGACAGAAATAGCGGCAACACATAAACTGTTGAGAAACTACGGCAACTTCTGAGAAGTAATTCCCCATTGTTGCCTCGCAAATAGCGTTGACACGTGTTAGCGACACCATAACTTGGGCGGGTTCGGGACAACTCTGCGCCTCGTGTCCCAAATGGAGCGACTGGGACGTCGTCGTCCTGTAATCCAGCTAGGAGGTCTCGAATTGTGGATATTTATCGGCATGCACTGTGGATATACTCCCTGGTGTGGATTAACGTCCGCACGAGTGAGTACTACGAGTATCCGCAGTATCCTGATAATTAGACTAATTCGTATATTATGGCAAAAATGTGGTTCGGATTCCACAATAAACTGTAGGTCCCTCAGTTGCCATTGCTGTATGGGCTATTAATTAAAAGCTGTGTCTAAGGAATAAGTAGGTCTTACACTAAAAAGACTACAAGATCGCGACACTCATCTTACACTTATCTCCATTCATACTTGGCTTAAAATACCTACTTTGTATGGTCGCCATTTCATAAGAAAGTACCATAAAAAAGTATTAAAGAAAGACTAGTCGAGTTTTGATTATGATGGCAACTACAGTATTGATCAAATAATCATTACACAGAGATACATGCGGTGTCTCTAAACATGTTATGAGTGAAATTATATGTGGGTGGAAGACGATGTCTGTTGTCATGTTACCATTTATCAAAAGCATAATGACCGAGAAGGATAGCCGGGTACGATAACAATTAAACAAAAACTACTGACTTAAAAACTAAAATTGTCGTATCTAAAGCCCGCACACAATTTGACGTAATCACGCCGAAAAGAACGCGACTATGTGATCGTTTCAGCACCGCAGGAAAATATGTTATCGATTAGTCTAGTTTAACACTCTGGATTAGTCTGGTTTTATCAGCTTAACACTCTATTTACTGTAATTACATTGTATAAAATTTCATTAATTTAGTAGTACAGATCATTCTACTACTAAAGTCTATTTAAAAAATGTCTTGAAAATTTAAACCATTCTGTTTGTTTACATGTAAAAAATAAAAATAAAACAGAAATAAATATCATGTAAACAAATTGTGTTTGTAAAATAGATCAAAGAGAAAAATGCACAGAGTAAGTTGAAATAGACGTAACAGTTACGCTAAACTGTGTTGTATTGGTTGACCGACAGCGCCGTGTAACGCTCAACGCAATCTGGGTACACCATGTATATTGCCTACTTAGATAATCCAGGCGAAGTAGTAGTGAAACATAGTCATAGTCAGGCCATTACAGACCTGCATGGTTATAAATTGAATCCAACGGAATTTTTTTTGTGAGTGGATTTTGAAATTCGTTACTAGTTTTGACATTTTTCTTCAACCATCCAATTCCTCAGGAAGAATCATAAGTCTGGTAGAGGGAAATTTGAAGGAAATTTAGAGCTTTACATAATTAACTTAGGATTATTTATTATAACACATTTTCTTACTATATCCTTTTGAAAAATTGAGATTAGAATCTTAAGTTAACTTAGGTACTTAATTGGTTTGTTTCATACAAAGCGGCATGCATGGTGTGGGGTGTTTAAACGCACAAACAACATATCTCTGAAATAAGTTATGTAAACCAATACATACATTAAAAACGAATCAAATTATTTTTACCCTTAAGAAAATAGAGGTTATGACCCAATCAAAATAACTCGTGTATGCATTAGCCAAAAATCCCTAGAAAATAAATCTTTTGAATAAGAGTCTACTAAAATTAAAATGCAAGATTGACTCAATTTAGTTCTAACGCCCTATAAAAAAGTAGTCAATCATATATCGGTCACAGTTGATACCGTGTTGGTAATGCTGTTTGAGTGTTTGTTATTCAAAAATAAAGTCACATAACTTACTGAATATTTGTATAAAGGGGGGATATGGCTCAAGGTCAAGCCTTACTATGGCACTGATAACAGTGCAATTTTTCGTTTTTTTTTTGTCAGTGACATTTTGTTAAGAGATTCTCAACTACTTTAATTTTTTTTAGCCTAGAGAACTGTGCCGTGTTGTTATAGACTCGGTATGGTAATGGTAGAAACCATTGATGACTTTTTCTATGAATGTTTTATAAAATTTTGTAGACCATTAGATCTCGTAGAAACGTAGATGGTCAAGCAGTCTAAGGCTTTCTTGGCCAAGAGACAGTAACAACGATCGCGTGTTCATATCCCACCTCAGCCATATCATGAGGAGTTCAGTAGTGGTGAGAGAGGCCCATTTAAAATGCATGGTGGAGATCTCCGCTGCAATTTCATAAGTGTCCCGCAGAACAATCGAATAAATATATCGAACTATTCTAAACGATATATTGATTATTTCATTCTATATATCAAGTCTGCTAACTAACCGAATGAAGTAATCAATATATCTAATAATCTATATCGATATATTCATTCGATTGTTCTGCGGGACACTTATGAAATTGCAGCGGAGATCTCCACCATGCATTTTAAATGGGCCTCTCTCACCACTACTGAACTCCTCATGATATGGCTGAGGTGGGATATGAACACTCGATCGTTGTTACTGTCTCTTGGCCGAGAAAGCCTTAGACTGCTTGACCATCTACGAGGTCTAATGGTCTACGATAACTTCCTTACAACGTTAATAAATCCAAATCTTAAAAGTAGTGGCTCTAAACTTGGTCCTCAGGTTACAGCTTATATCTTGTAGATCTGAAAGGTTTTTTCTTTTGTTGAGATAAAGCTTGTGCCAATCGTTAAGAGCAAGTGGGGGTTTCTTTAAGTTACCCATGGTCAATATATCAGTCTTTGGGGGCTCAGAGGGTTAAAGGGAAAGCTGTCCAACCCCCCACATTTTTTTGGACACTGTAGATTTTTCTCGCACTAAAACTCTAGTAGGGGTAGCAGGGGTGTGTTTTTTCTAGAGAGTCAGTCAAATTGAACTAATATGTAACACAAATACTAAAGGTCTTACCAACTAAGTATCTTTCCTTGCAAGTACATAGAACTTTCTTACAAATCCATCCCATGGCCATTTCTTTGCGTACGTAGCTAGGTTGCGACGGCACACTTATTGACACATACCTTCTCTTTCGCTACACTTCTAGTTGTTTCAATTATTCTGTTGGTGACTACCGATAGCTGTAGTGTCAGAACTCTTGTTAATGTTTTATCATAATGAAGTGCAGTGGTGTGTCTTTGTTACAGGAGGAGTGGGGGAAGCCGGCATTGACCTCTTGGCGTCCCTACAGCTGCACAACACCAGTCACCAAGGTGTCACACTCGCCCCGGGGCCGCAGCGGCTACGTCCTGCCTTCTATCTGCAAGGTAAGCTGCTGTAGCTCAGAAACAACCCATTACAAGAATTGTACCTAATACTAAAAAAGGCTGATTTTATAAAAAAACTCCAAGAAGACGTTTGTTCAGCAAAAATAATAAACAGTTGCTAGGCAGCGATGACAATAAAACGATTCTATTGCAATTCTATGGATACTGATTGTGTATTTAATATGCATTCATGTTTTAAGAGAGTAAGCGGGCAGCTGATTTTGCGGCCCTAGGGATGTAAAAACCTGCTCGGTCCCCAAATGACGATGACAGCTAGTATGGCCAGCAAAACGTAGCTTTCAGCCACCAATTAACGTATGCAAAACAGCTAAAAACATCATAGTGTGTGGTGAAAATTATACATTTTATAGAACTATTGGTCTCGTAGTGAAGATAAAATAATATTTTTAAAGATTGTTTATTTGTATTTTTGTACATCATTGGAATTTATGCCATTTGTAATGGAATAGCTTAATCCCTCGTCTTTTTACCACCTAACACAGATCTTTTGTTAGATACATCAATATTCAATATTCCTAGCGCAATGACAATTTAAATCTTGTTTACCAGGAAGTTTAAATTTTTTTGCCATAGGAGACTACCGGGATTTACGACTGCCGGCCAGCGTCTACCAACAAGCTGTGGAATTGTTACGAGGCAACCCAGAGTTTACGGTTGCGGCAAGCCTGCGCCAGGAGGAGTTTAACTCCGGCACCATCGTCGCCTTCTCTCACGGCTTTAACAGGTAATACCAACAGTAGGAATAAAATATCTTCAACTTGTAAGAATGTATCCAAGTTATGGAAGCGAATCATGTAGGAGAAATATGAATATTTATTGAGAAATAATTTTAAACATTTAAAAAATTTTATATTCTTTATTTTAAAGAAAAGTAGTTGCTCATTGAAGAATCTGAATTCCAAAAAGTATCATCTTGAAGTTGGTAATAGTCATCGTAAAACTTCAGAGTCACTATTGATTCCCTCTGAGACCGAAGAGTTTTGATCACCAAAATGTAGACAGAAATGCTATCAACTTGTTATTCTAAAGTAACATATTATTTTGAAAGACAAATATGAGAACAAGTGTTCAAAGTTTGTATAAGTAAAAAAAATTATTGAATCAAAAATGTATTTAAAACATGTACTAAATAAGAGAAAGATAAAATTGTTCAACTTGTCATGTAATATCTTATGTTAATTTACATAACCTGTTTAAAAAACACGAATCTATAAAAACAATTTAATTTGTCTGATAACATTTTTACTTACCTTCTTTCAATCTCAAATTTATAAAAAACTAGGTGTTCCGTATGCAAATTGTGCATCTAAAGAGGCACTTTAAAAAAAATAATTTTTTTTTATTGTATATTTGATTGTAGACCATGCAAAGCCCTAAAATACATTACCTTTCTAGTTACCATTTGCCACTCTGCCACTTATAAGCTTGAAAATGACGCCTAAATTGTAAAAATTGTATAGTGGAACGGGTGAAAAAGGCATGTTATAGAGAAAACTCTTGATATACTAAGTATATAGTTTTGTAACTCTATCAATTTTATGCAACAAGGCAAAGCAATAATTGAAAAAAAGTTCTACTTTAAAACTATATTTTAATTGAATAAGAATGTTATATAGTTCGGCCTCTTAGAAAGCGACCTCCTCCAGCATTGGTTTAGCATTAGCGCGCAGGTCGTTTTCTAAGCGGCCGAACTATAGTATCGTTACTGGGTGAAGAAAAATTATTATCATAAGTCAGCTGTTTGTGTAAAATGGTTAACATAGGAAACATGACTAAATTAAACGTAAATATTGTAGTTTTCCTCTTTTTACTCGTAATTAATATTTCCCAAAGCCCACAGAACTTTGTAAGTCCGTAAGGTAGAGCAGGGGTCACCTGTTTTTATTGAGGGTCTCATTGTAAATTTTTGGAGAAAAATATTTGGCCAGTCATATTTCAGGGCAGAAAACTCCCCCCTCCCCCTCAACATGAACCCATGAAGTTGTTAACTGGTTAAGTGGTGGTTTGGTTATTGAGATTTTCTTTATTATTTTGTATTTGCTATTTTGCATTTTTATTTATATATAGCTTGTTGGTTAGCTAAAACTCCAAATAGACCTATTGAAATCACAGGATGACATAAATCTTTTCTATCTACTACAAAATTTACTTTGTTGAACTTTTAAATTGTAATGGCGATAAGAAAATTTCCCAATGGAGTTTTACAACAGTTTAGTAAAGAGTAGAAACAACTATTGGAAATGAATATTGTGGAACGGGAAACTGCACTTGAATGTGATGGTATGGACTGAGAGTTCTAATCAATATCCTCTGGCCGAGACTCATTCATTAGATGGTGTTCTATTGGTTCTCTTTTACCGTTGGAAGGAAATCGCAATCACTGGTGATGATGAGTGTTGCCGGGCAGGAGTAGATAACAGTATCAATGAGAATGCAATTTATGCTCACAGATGTTGCCACAATCGCAGGAGATCATCATGGTTTTGCTGAGACCATAAATGTTCACGAATGTTGTCGCGATCAAGGGAGATGATCCCGGCCTTTTCGATACTGCCAGATACGGTTGTTTACGCGATCACAGTGTAATTAACAGTGTTTCCTAAAAAACGTATTTTCACTACAAAGAAAGGCATACAGACAAACAGAATCCTCATTTTATTATACACTAGCTCTACCCGCGGGCTTTGCCCCGTTTAACTTCATATGTGAGCTCGGTCGCATAGCTCAATCACGTCCTGGTTGAAGTTCGTTCGCTACGCTCACTCACCTTTAGGTTGGAGCTCGCTCGCTGCGCTCACACGTCCTGGTTGAAGTTCGTTCGCTACGCTCACTCACCTTTTGGTTTCAAATTAGCTGTTGTCAAATATTAAAAAAAAAATAATTTTGCTGCACTCTGTTGGTAATCCTTGTAACTTTAATGCTATTGAACATCATAGAACAGAACCAACTTGTTTAATTGAAACAGCTGTTATGATTCATTAATTCCATTTAAATATGAGTACTTATTAGGTTAACATGGGAAACTCCAGAGCCGCTGGGGCGGAGCCCGAGAGTCCGATCAGAATAAAAACCACTTTAGTTTTCCTATTTAATGCCTAAAGAATCAGTGTACCAAATTTCAGCCTCCTAGGTAAGTGGGAAGTGGGAGAATTAGTGATGAGTGAGTGAGTGAGTCAGTCAGTCAGTGAGGGCTTTGCCTTATATATATATACTAGCTGTAACCCGCGGGCTTTGCCCCGTTTAACTTCTTAATTTTCAAGATGATCTCGTTTGCATGGCTCAATCACGTCCTGGTTGAAGTTCGTTCGCTACGCTCACTCAACTTTAGGTTTGAGCTCGTTCGCTACGCTCACTCACCTTTAGATTGGAGCTCGTTCGCTGCGCTCACTTGCCTTCAGGTTAGCTCGTTCGCTACGCTAACTCGCCTCCAGGTTGAAGTTCGTTCGCTATGCTCACTCACCTTTTGGTTGCAAATTAGCTGTCATAAATGTAAAAGAAATAATAGTGCTGCATCCTGTTGGTAATCCTTGTAACTTTAATGCTATTGAACATCATAGAACAGAACCAACTTGTTTAATGAAACAGCTGTTAAGATTCATTAATTCCATTTCTCATAAGGTTAACATGGGAAACTCCAGAGCCACTGGGGCGGAGCCCGAGAGTCCGATCGGAATAAAAACAACTTAGTTTTCCTATTTAATGCCTAAAGAATCAGTGTACCAAATTTCAGCCTCCTAGGTAAATGGGAAGTGGGAGAATTAGTGATGAGTGAGTCAGTCAGTGAGGGCTTTGCCTTTTATATATATAGATAGATAGAAAAAGGATCTTGTCTTCTTTTTTTAAGAAACTGAAAACATGTTTTAAGAAGTATTCTTATTTCGTAGGTATTTAGAACTTCAATCAAGTGGTCGTAAGGATGAGATTCGGCTGCACTACACTGGCCACGATTCTATTGTGCACATTGAAACCTTCCCGTACCGTTTGGCAGACAACGTGTGGCATAAGGTATTGTATGATTCCCAGATGGAAATATTAGAAATTAGGTTAGATTCCCTTTCTAGTATTGAAAAGGTGAGAGCCAACAGTAAACAGCCATTTTTCAAAGGCTCTGGTAGCAGTGAGCTTATGAGTGAGTCGCACGCAAAACTGATGGTAGATCGTCACTTGCTCTACCTTTGTCTGCTGTTATTGAATGCTTTAATTTTCACTAGTGTTAAGAGGTGTGAACCAGCAATATACAGCCATGTGTCAAATGCTCAGGTAGCAGTGAGCGTGAGTGGGTCGCAGGTAGAACTGATGGTAGACTGTCACCCGCTCTACCGTCGTCTGCTCAGTCGCACACCCGACACCAACTTCACCCTGCCACAACTCACCCTCTGGGTTGGCCAACGCAACAACAAACACTCTCTTTTTAAGGTAAATTGAAGTTAATCTCTAGCATTAAGTTGAACATTCAGTGAACCATGGTTTTTCTTGATATTTATTTGTTATTGGTTGTCTTTTACAGTACCTATTTGTTATTAAACTTCAATCAGTAAATCAATCAATAATTGAGATGGGGACGCCACCTCGATGCCAAATATGAAGGAATGAGTGTAGAATGGTGTGAGATGATCTGTATAGCTTTGATCAAAGAAAGTAACAAATTCTATTCCTCTATCCACTTTACTTTTTTAGAAAGATTGAGATTTTGGTGAGTTGGTAAGCTGTAGCTCTGTCAGAAGCGTTAGTGACTTTGAAACCTAGGCAGAGAAAGCCATTGTTTCATGCCACTAAAAATTTTCTAGTACAATTCATTCTTGTATCCTACCGACTCCCTCTTCCTTTGTATAGTAGGTTCCATGCAGAGGCTCCATGTGGACAGGTAAATACAAAAAGTTCAAAGAGGTTGCAAGCCTCTATAAAAAAATGAAAGGTCTTTAGTCAATGAACCAAAAATACGGTGACTCAACTCACAAGGATTGCACTCATGCATTCACTTCTATCAAATTCCACCAGAGAGGTCCATTGTTGGCTTTAGGTGGGCTACTCCCATCAAGCTTTCACAGACACGGACATATGAACCTCTTATGAGTTGTAGACAAGACCTGACTGATATGGGACTGAAATTCTTGATCTAAGATGCTTAGCCTACTTGAAAAGATTGCTCATTACTGTACTGACAAATGAAGGTAAACCAAAAGTTCAAATGTGGTAATTATTGACTCAACTGATAAAAGATAATGTCAAGGTAGTTTTCGGCAGTTTTTGTTCAGTTATGCTTGCATATAGTTGTAAGTGAAGGATTGACTGTGTTGGATGTCCGCAGGGCACACTACAAGATGTAAGACTGATCACAGGCCCCCACGGCTACCTGAACCAGTGTCCCCACCTGGATACCAGCTGTCCTACCTGTGGACAGTTCTCTGTACTGCAGAACACCGTGGAAACCCTTACCAAACACCTACAGGATCTCTCCCAAAGAGTGGGTAATTTTTAAAACTTAATGAACCATAAAAAGATAAATCTTAGTGCAAAAGTGTTATATAATGGAGTTTTAATCTTTTGACTACTGATAAAACTAGACATTTCATCCGCATATTAACCTTGTCGCCACTTTATTGCTCATAATTGTCATAGTTGATTTGAGCAACTGACAGGTTGTGCTGATGTAAATTACTAATTTCTGTCGAATAACTTACATAAACTTTTTTACCAAGTCTAACTGATGAAAGGACTTATTGTCGATAGCACAGAAATAGAGAACAGAGGATACATTCCATATGGTACACTAACTTAGGTGGTGTCTAGCACTAGTGCTAGTGTCTAGGGCAAAGTCCACACTAGTCCCTTCGCCCTCACGCTCACGGTGAAGGAAGACCCTGTGTCCTGTGCGATAGGAGTTCCCGTACAGTGCTTGACGACGTTCAGGCTCTTCCTTGCTTGTCACTAGTATATTCCCGCCCCAACATACCTTGGCACAACAAACGCACGGTTGTCCCATAACCATGTTTCCTCTGTACCATACTTCTCCGTTGCTCAACTGCATTGCCAACAAATAAAAGGGTAGAAGATAGAATGTATACCGTATAGAACGTATGTTATATACATTCTATATACTCTATAGTTTCCACTTTTCAGTCACTTGCACATTCTGTGACTGACTTACATACAACTACAATGTTTTAGCATGGTTGATGGTTAAATAAATTAAAACTAAAGACATCCACACCAAACTTGAAACTTTATTTATCCAGCACAGTACTTTATTCTACTATTCTAAGTAATACCCATTGTTGTCTCCTTTATTTTTTAACCAACTTGAAGAAATATTTCAACCAAAATATCTACTTACAAACTTGCGTGACCTTTGGTACCCTGAAATAAGAGAAAACTATCTAGTTGACGTCAGCAAACATGGCCAATATGAAACACATCATCAATACGCAGGCTTCAAAATTTTCAATAGGATGAGACATGGTATACATAAACTGAAAATCTAATGTTTGTGATTATGTTTTTTTCCAGCTGATAGCAGTAGAGGGCAAGATCAGCAGGTTAGAAGAGTGCGATTGTCAAAAGTCATGTACAGTAAATGGCAGCATACACGCCGACGGTGCGTCGTGGCAGCATGATTGTGATATTTGTTCGTGTGTTGTAAGTTTCTGTGGTAAATTAATTTTTAAAATAAGCCACAAACGACTTAATAATGTATTTCAAAGCATCAAACACACACTTTTAACTGCAGTGCAACTGTAAATGCAATAAGTATGTGATATTAATTAGGAGGCGATATAATATTTTCTTTACTCACTTGCTATAGTGCTCTAAAAATATTGAATATCTATTACTTATTTAATACGCAAGCAGGTTTTTTGTGACAATTACTCCTCCGAAACTACTGAACCGATTGACATGTTTTTGGTGTCATTGGAAAGAGCGTAACTTGAAGTTGTGCAGGAAACTTTCTTTTTAGGGAAATAATTAGAGAGTGAGGCCCTGGGACCCTTTAAAGTTTTGTATTTCTCCATAAGATTAACATGGGAAACAAAAATTGTTATGAAACTCCAGCTGTTGTCAGAAATTAAAAGTGAGAAGAAGAACATATGTTAATTGTAAACAGTCAATAAGTTTGTTAATTTAACAGTTTGCTATAAACATTTACTGAATCGGTCGAAATGAAATATTTACTATTTGAATTCGGGTTGGCGTAAATATTACAATGGGAAAAAGCCAGAGAATCTGGATAAATTTATATAAATTGTTATGTACATCTTGAGTATTTCCATAATTTTTGAGTCGAATCTTTTAAAGTCATGAGAAATTATGGCTGTTATTCGTTTTAAAATAACGCCTGTAATGCTTAGCAATTGCTCGAATTCGAGCAACAGGGACACTAGTAATTAATAAACCTTGATATTTTAGTCCCTTAAACAGCATCAGCTCTCATATACTTTCTACATTTGTTCAATAAAAAAAATAAATGAATAAATAAATAATAAAAAAACTTCAATGGGTTTGGACCGCTTTTCTGTAAAAGTGTTTACACTAAACTAACTTTGCCATCTTCAATTAAAAATTCCACTGGTTAGAACAAGAAAAAAACTCTTAGCCTATTATAAATAGTATTTCTATTACTACTAAGGTCTAGAAACTATAGACTACTTGTAACTATTTGTTCTTGTTTCAGCATGGAGAAGTTCAGTGCAGACCTGTACAATGCCCCCCTGTAAACTGTAAAAACCCCGTATTGAACCCCGGAGAATGTTGTAAGAGTTGCCTTAGTAAGTATTCTTAAACTTATTCTGTACGTTTTATTGCCAGGCTTAGGTCTCATATACAGGCTTTACACACTTTAGACTTGGACTAAATTTAATATGAGTGGTGGGTTATGTTTTCATAAGAATTATGTTGTGAAATGGTAATGAAATTGTATTAGATGACAAATCAGAGTGGGACAGATTAAGGTTAAGACTCAAATAAAAAAAGTCATATCGTTACTGTATATAACAAATCGTATCAAAATAATACTTGGTTTTTCTTAGTTCTAAAGAATTATTTTAAGATTAAAAAATCTTGCCTAGTGTTCACTAAAATCTAATTTAGTAGTCAATCCATAATATCAAGAATAATCGATTTGGTTGGATAAGAAAGTATAACAAAAGTTTCATTTACTTCTGTAGTGTTAAATAAAAAATGTAATGGTGGAGTTTACAACTGAACAGTCTTCTCTATGCCTTACAACTAATAAAGAGTAAAGTAATTCCCTATAGTAAATTAAATATGTTTAAATATGTCCCTAATCTCTAACATAGTTTTTATCCTCCTTTGCGTCTTTCTCTTTTGTTTTAATATCCACTAACAATGATGTAATAATAAAGATTAACACTACTGATTGACGAACCAATAAATTATCGCTTTCAGCGTAACGAGGGATCGGGAGGAGAAAGACTTTAAAAATTGAGATCAGCCGAATCAATACCATCATTCAATTCAAATTAAGGTTAGTTTCGGATACCTTGCGCAATACTAATCCGATACTAATCTTTGAAATTAGGACATAAAAAAATATTCACATAACACAAATCTTTAAAAAAACTTGTTGCAGCAATGTGGCTCAATATAAATGACAAAATTTACATCAAGAGAAAATTATTTTTAATCTATGCTTTTGACTTTATGTATATCAGCTAGAATCAAATAATAAAAGCTTTAAACACAATAGTTATATATAAATTTATAAAAAAATTAAACTATCTCAAGTTGCCTCAACTCTTAAGTACCTACACATTGATCCATTTTTTAAATTGATGTGAATCTAAAATATGTAAATTTAAATTTTATCATGGGCCGATTTAAATACAAACTTTAATAAATAAACGGAAATTTTAATTGGTTTGCAAGACAACCAGGTGCTACTGGGGTATTTACACCAAACCAATTTTTTTTACCTAACATATTATATTTGCTTTAATTTTTTATATGAATAATACCTATTAGAATTCACTGTAAACTTTTAAACAATAATATTAATAACTGCTTTTGAAAAATTGGTTTCTGAACTACTAACAGCATCAATTTTGTTTTGTTTTAATTTACCGTATAGTATTTTTTATGTGATTGCTAAAATATCTAATAAACATCTCTGAATATCCAAGAAACAAACATTCTCAGTAAAGAGAGAAAAAGGTGATACATTTTAAAGTGCAGGAAGCCCTCATCAACCTGGACCCAATTTAAAATGCACTTTGCTTAAACTGGACAGCCATTTACAGCAGTTTTTAAAAATGTTATACAGCTATGATTGGGTTTCCCAAAGTGTCAACAATAATCTGGAGTTTTCCTTTGTTTTATTGTGAATACACTATTAAACCTTTTTCTCCACTAGTTAAGGAGACACAAGGTATCCTGGAATCCCGCTGTCTCTTCCCATATTATTTTATTTTATCCGTACTTTAATTGATTCCGGACAACTTTAATCTCAGAATAGTCCAGATCAATGAGGGTCGACTCAGTTGCTAACCACTTAAGATATGAGCTTACAACCTTGAGTTGTTTTTCTCAGAGCAATGTTATCTACGAGGGACGCTGTATGACCACGGAGACTCTGTGAGTCTCAAGCAGTGCGTCGAGTGTGAGTGTCGCGACGGTTCGATGCATTGCACCCGCATCGATCCCGAGACCATGTGTCCTCCACTCACCTGTCCACCCAGCCAACAGTTCAGCGTCCCAGACGAGTGCTGTAAATTTTGCCCAGGTGAAAAATTGCCGATGTCACAATTCAAACTGAATTTAGCTGTAAACTGTTACAGTTTGACTATTAAAATTAGATTGCCGTAGATGAGTTCATAAGTATTGACATGTTTAAAAACTACACTAACTTCTTGTTGTTTGGTATAACAATTAATTGCAAAGTTGAACCAAGCTTAAAATCAAGTTACAATTGATTGCTTAGTTACGTTCCTTGATTTTTGCTCAGGTAAAAGTTATGCTGTTATTCTAAAAGTACTACCAGTATCTGATGTAAACCTAATTTACTCTACATTTTGTTATTTTATTTATAATTACTCTACATGCTTTTTAAACATTTGTTTTGTTATTGTATATGTGTGTGTGTTTAACAATATTGAATGATACCTAACTGAGTATGACACCATTTTTCATGAAAACAATTAAACATATTTGGATTTTGTTGTGATTACCAAGAATAACCTGTGTAGAAAACCCCTCATTCAGGTAACAATTCAACAATTCAATATTTTAATGTACCCATGCCAATTGCTTTAATTTTACATTAGATTACCTTGGTTGATGTAGCCTGTAGTTCTTGAGTAAGATTTATTTTTGCCTCAAGAACCACAGGCTACAACAACCAAGGTAATCTTATATAAGTTCTTGAAACTTGGATAGAAAATGAAAATAAAACATGTATTTGATTGTTCCAACGTTTAGTAAGATTCACCTTTGTAGACTAACATGCTGATAACAAAGTGTGTGTTGTTTGGCTTGACTAATGTTTGCACTAACCAAGGTGTGGACTACTGTGGCAAGGGACATGAGTGTCACAGTAATGCAAGTTGCCTTAACCTGGAGACGACTTACGCATGTCACTGTAACACCGGCTTCTCAGGAGATGGCCACACATGTTACGGTAAGTTGGAAATGTTATTGAGCGCCTTAGTTAAAAAGTCTCTTGTCAGTGAAGACCGAGAAGTAAAGACAAATCTGTGTCATTGTGTGGTGAATGTAATGCTCACCTGGTAATGGGTATGTTGGTGGTTCAATCATGAGGAAAGTCAGGGCCGTATTTCGCTAACGGCCGACACTGCGGTTGCCGGAGGCCTCGGCCTTAGGGGGGACCTCACTTGGGGCCTCAAATTGTTTTTCTTGATAAATATATTTCACCTATAATCTGTTTCACGGGAGACGTTAATGAAATCAGCGCCACCACAAAGGATCTTACCTATTTCGCAGGTAACATAGGAGTTCTCACTATTCATCTGCGATTGCGGAAGATGCTCAGGATTTTGTTGGGACCGCGGGAGTCAAAGATCATGTACCCGAAAACTGGGAAAATCTTCACGATTTCATCATGATCAAAGGAGACAATTTCATCATGTTACCTCTTACTCGGTGGCCACAGAACAATCTTATGGTTCCACTGTGATTGGAGGAGACGAAGATGACGTCTCTGGGCTCGCGCAAGACGCTAACTATTTCTCCGCGGCGACAGAACACTTTCATTCGCCATGATCGAAGGAGACGGAGATGGTATCCCCGCACTCGCCCTAGATGTTAACTATTTCTCTATGGCCGCAGAACAAATTTTTCCATGATCGGAGAAGACAAAAATTAGGTTTCCGCACTTGCGCAACATGTTACCTCTTTCTCCGTGGCCACAGAACACTTTCATGACTACGCCGCGATCGGTGGAGACAAAGATAACGTCTCCAAGTTCGCGCAAGACGCAAACTATTTCTCAGCGGCCATAGGAGACGTTCATGATTCCACAGTGTTTGGAGGAGAAGACGATGATGTCTCTGCGTTAGTGCAAGATGTTTAATGTTTCCCGCAAGGAGACATTCTAGATTTTTTTGCAATTGCAGAAGACGAAGATGATATCTCCCTGATCATTCACTATTTTGCTTTATGCCGATTAGATTGATGGAAACAAAAAGACCAATTCAAGTTGAAGCAATACCACGTGTATTTCTACCCTTAAGTTCCAACCTTCCGTAGAATCAGAATATAGAGGGGCCCCTCTGGTGAGAGCCACTGGGGGCCTCATCGATTCTAAATATGGCCCTGAGGAAAGTTGGTAGCTTTTTGATAGTTTGAAATTGGACCTAGCTGTGTTTTATCTTTGGCATTTAATGAAATGGTTCTGGCCAAACAAACAGCTGATCTTAGCCATTAAAAGAGCTTCACAAGATATTTCAATTTTGCTCTCATAGGCTTCACTCATATGATGACTCAATGTGATGATAATACATTGCTCAAAATAGCCTATTGTGTTTTTTTTTTTTATATTACAATACAATAGAGTAAAAATTTATGAAAATAACTACTCCACATCCCTAAAAAACTATAATTATTTATTTTGCTGAAAATTCAACACTAAGATAAGAAAGCCCCTTGCAGTATCCAAAGTGAATGATACAACTTACGACTGTTTACAGACATAGATGAGTGCCAGAGCCAGGGAGGACTGGAGGGTCATCACTGCCACTCTAACACGAGGTGTGTAAACACTGCCGGAGGTTACGAGTGCGAGTGTCTGCCGGGTCATCGACGGCTCGACAGGTTCAACTGTGTGGAGGTGGACGAGTGTTCGACAGGGACACATCAGTGTGACGCACACGCTACCTGTAGGAACACTCAGGGCAGTTACCACTGCCTGTGTCAGGACGGGTACACGGGAGACGGATACAAGTGCACTCGTAAGTATTTGATAAGTTTGCTGAATCTATTGTCTGGGTATCCCATCTATCTATACTATTATAAAAAAGAGGTGGTTGCTGTATGTGTGTATGGGAAAAGTAAACTCGAAAAATACTGGTCGGATTGGGCTGAAATTTGGCATGATGATAGCTCACATTCCCGATTAACATATAGGCATATTCTTATTTCAAAAATCCTTTCGGGCTCCGCCCCAGTGGCTCTGGAGTTTCCCATGTTAACCTTATGAGAAATGGAATTATTGAATCTTAACAGCTGTTTCAATTAAACAAGTTGGTTCTGTTCTATGATGTTCAATAGCATTAAAGTTACAAGGATTACCAACAGGGTGCAGCACTATTATTTCTTTTACATTTATGACAACAGCTAATTTGCAACCAAAAGGTGAGTGAGCGTAGCGAACGAACTTCAACCTGGAGGCGAGTTAGCGTAGCGAACGAGCTAACCTGAAGGCAAGTGAGCGCAGCGAACAAGCTCCAACCTAAAGGTGAGTGAGCGTAGCGAACGAGCTCCAACCTAAAGGTGAGTGAGCGTAGCAAACGAGCTCCAACCTAAAGGTGAGTGAGCGTAGCGAACAAACTTCAACCAGGACGTGATTGAGCCATGCGAACGAGATAATCTTGAAAATTAAGAAGTTAAACGGGGCAAAGCCCGCGGGTTACAGCTAGTTGGTTATAAAGCTCTACTTAAATCTGAATGCCATGGGTTGGATCCATATCAATTCAGAATACAGGTGCTATTTTTGTCATAAGCAATCAATTATTAATCTGCCTAACAAAAGATCAATGCTATTCAGGGTGTCCATAACAGACGTTACAGGACTTTGGGATATGAATACTCATAAAGTACTAAAAGGAAGAAAAAAGTTGTTAAGGTATGTCCAAAAAATAAAAATGCATATTTACCCACATATCAGCGATTTTGTTTTGTTATTTATTTAGTTATTTACCGTAACCCATTTCTGAGTTATTTAAGTTATAAAATTTAAACGACCGCCATTTTGTTTTGTTATTTAGTTATTTAACCCAATTTTTAGTTATTTATGTTATAAAAGCTAAACGGCCGCCATTTTGAAATTTCTAATCGGACCATCTTTATATTTTTTTTCTTATAATAGGTCTTGTGTACGTTAACATGCTTCCCGAGTTTAATAATCATCTGATTAAAAACTTCAAAGAAAACTGTTATTAAAAAACAAAATATCGGATACCTAGGGAAATGTGCATTTTCGGACATACCTTCACATAACCTTTTTTCTTTCTTTTAGTATGAGGATTCATATATCCCAAAGTCCTGAAACGTTTTTTATACACACCCTGTATATCTTTTGTGAATTACAAATATTAACAGTTTATAGTCTTTACATTTAAGAAAAATAATTTGTGCAAAACAGACTCAACTATCATCCACCTCAACAGAACAATTAGTATATAACACTAGATTACAAATTAACATACCTCGGCATAATTTAGAATTCTACACCAAAAAGACCTCTTACATAGGGCTAAAATTCCTCCAGTTTTTACCAGCTCACATCCGAAAAGAAACACAATTTAATAAATTCAAGCACTTTCTAAAAGACTTTTTCATTAGTTCATAAGTATGAGCTTGTGGAGTATAACAATTCAAAAATCAGTTCCCAATTGTGAGTTTGTTGTTTCCAGCGGTGTGTCCTCAGACGTGTCTCAACGGTGGGGAGTGTGTGAGGCCGGGAGTGTGCCAGTGTCGCAAGGGTTACGTTGGGGACAGCTGTGAGGCAGACCTGGACGAGTGCACTGCAGGCCTACACCAATGCCAACCGTCAGCTGTGTGTGTCAACATGCCGGGTTGGTACTACTGCCGCTGCAAGCCCGGCTATCGCAGCACAATACTGCCCGACAACACTCTATCTACTACCTGCACAGGTATAATTTGCCATGAAACTGTGTCGTGTGTGATTAGTAAATTAATTTATTTCACACTGCAACAAAAGCAGGCGTTTTCAATTAAATGCTTAAGGCACCCCGTTCTAATCATAGTATTATCATGCCGGTTTGTGATCTCCTTTGAATGGATGTAGGTTTACAAAATTGTAGCAAATTTAATAAAAAAAAAACGGATGATTTTTAATTAAAAACAAAAAATAAATTGGTCTTATGGGTAATGAGTCCCATGAGACATGAGACCTACGGTAGTAGCTTATTCCTTATATGGGGAATTCACGAAAACATGAGATTATGTGAGAGCAGCGTCTTTTTTACCATCCAAATTTTTCTCAAGTCCAAAATAAAAACATCCTCCCAATATTTCCATGGCTATTCTCGTAAAATACCTATGAACAAATATGGTTTGATTTAAAAGTTGTTCACAGATGCCAAGTATGATCTAATTTGAAACAAAATATAAGAGATGCTTTTCAAAAGATAATGTAAACCTATTTCTTGAATCACTTAAAAGTGAAAACTGGAATGAAGTTTATTTTTCATGTGTGGAGGACAAATATGATAAGTTTCTCAATATTTTTATGTATCATTTTAACTTAGCTTTTCCTAAAAAAGTTAAAAGGATAAATTATAAGCAAAAATCCTGGGTCACAGAAGAAATAAAACAGCAAAGAAACAATATTATTGACTTAGAAAAAGAAGCTAGAGTAACAAAAAATAAAGAATTGAAGAAATGTGTTAAAGAGAAAAATAAGTTATATAGGAAAATGTTAAAAGATTCAAAAACCAATTTTTATAATAAGCAGATAAATGAATCAGAAAATGTCATTAAAACAACTTGGAAAATAGTAAATACTGAGGTTGGAGTTCTGCCCAAAAACAAACAAAATCTAGAATTGACTGTAGATAATAAGAATGTATCTGATGTTTTAGTTATAAGTAATTTGTTAAACAATTATTTTATAAACTGTATAAAAGACCTTCAAACAAAACCAGATATAGAACCTAGTGTACAGAAAAATAGTCTTTCAAGTAGTTTCTCTCCTCATAATCAGACTTTTCGCTGTGAGCCCACAGATGAAAACGAAATTATTAAAATATTAGATTCTTTAAAAAATAAGCAATCATATGGGTTTGATGAAATTCCTGTAACTATAATAAAATCTGCAAAAATACACCTATGTAAAATCTTAGTTCATCTGGTTAACTCTTCTTTAATATCTGGCATTTTTCCAAAAAAATTAAAAATATCCAAAGTTGTACCTATACATAAAAAATATTCTACAAAAGACATGTCCAATTATCGTCCAATTTCGATTCTGCCATCCTTTTCAAAAATTTATGAAAAAGTTGTGTACAGAAGATTATCCCAATTCTTAGAAAATTCAAACATTCTAGATATGTCCCAGCACGGTTTTCGGCCCGGAAAATCGGTTTTCACTGCAGCCGTTTCTTTTATTGAATCCATCATAGAGTCCATAGATAAAGGGGAGAACGTAGTGGGCATATTTATGGATTTAACAAAAGCTTTTGAAAGCGTAAATCATCATCTATTACTTGATAAATTATTGAACTTTGGTGTCAAGGGAGTTGCATACAATTGGTTTAAGTCATAACTTTCCGACCGATATCAGTATGTTGAAATTAACCAAACCATTTCAAATAGGATCACGGGCGCAGCATCGGACTTATGTTTGGTCTCATGTGGCGTCCCACAGGGATCGATTCTGGGTCCTTTGCTGTTCTTATGTTACATAACCGGACTTCCTGAAGTGCTACAGACTGTTCCCCATAGTAATTTATGTTTATATGCAGACGACGCAAATTTAAAAATCTCAGCAAAGAACCAAAATGAAATTGAATATTTAAGTTTTATAGAACTAGCTAATATAAAGCAATACTTCAATAATAATAGTCTTTTGTTAAATCCAAATAAAACTAAATTTATTACATTTTCCACAAAGCAAAATCGTAAAAAAATATCTCCAAATATAATGATTGAAGATGAAATTATTGAACAAGTGAATGAGGCTAAATTTTTAGGTCTATATATTGATGAAAACCTATGCTGGGACAAACATGTCGAACATATATCAAGAAAAATTAACTCCGGTTTATTCGCCTTAAGGCGTATGGCCAGCCTATGCTCATTGCCTGTACTAAAACAAATATATTTTGCTCTGATTCACTCTAATATTTCTTATGGAATTGGCTTGTATGGTGCAACAACAATAAATAATCTGAATACAATTCTAAACCTACAGAAAAAAGCAATTAGATGTATGCTCAAACTTGAAGATGATGACTCCGCAAGAGAACACTTCAAAAATCTTAAAATTTTAACTGTGTATGGTCTGTATATTTTTGAATGTATCTTATTTTTTATAACAAAAACTTATGTACAACCAATAGTTCATCAATATAATACATGAAGACAGACCGAAAAACATTTTGAAAAACATAGATTGGAATTTTTTAAAAAAAAGACGACATACATTGGCAATAAATTCTTTAAAGCACTTCCGAATGAACTAAGATCAGAAAAAAACAATAACAAACTAAAATGTAAATTGAAAATATATTTGATCAACAAACCCATGTACTCAATAGAGGAATTTTATGAATACAACAAAATTATGAAGCAGTAGTGATAGTTTTTTTTTTTTTTTTAATTTATAATTGTATTGTTTTTTTAGTTTTATATTTGACGCCATTTCTTGTAATGACATGTACAAGGACAAATAAAGTGATTTGATTGATTGATTGATTGATTGTTTTCTTAGACCTAGACGAGTGCAGCAATGGAAGTCACAGCTGCCATCCGAGCGCTGAGTGTGTAAACACTGACGGAGGGTTCCAGTGTTCCTGTAGCCACTCAACTACAGAAGACCCAACCAAGGGGGATCAGTGCAAACTGAGTGAGTAGCCACCACAAACCTGCTGGACAGTCAATAAACTAATACAGTGATGTCAACCCCCATGGGAGGAAACCTAGGTTGGATAAGTTAGTGATTGATTTTCCCAGATACTTTTTGATTTATTACGTGGTTATAGGCCACAAGAAATAGATTAGAGTTGGTCACAAGGCTTGGAAAATTGCAGTTTTTGCCCTATAGCCCTTGAAAGTACCCATGTTCGTCTATACCTTTTTGTGGTCAAATACCACATTTTGTAAAATCGTTTCTTATTGCCGACGCTAGGAGAGGAATATGTATGCAAAATCTCATGCTACTAGGTGCTATAATTTGGCCTGTGCGTTGATCAGAATTTTGCATTTATATATATATAAAAAAATAAAATTTAAAAAAACACCAAAACAAATTAACTAATGTTAGAACACCAAAAGGAAATTTATTTTTTAAATAAGGTAATCGAGTACAAACATTTTGACTTACCTAATATGTATGTGTTTCATTTTATCAATATTTCATGTATAGAGATGGGTCAAGTAGTTGAACTGTGATACACCAGAAACAAATGAAACATGAGAAGTGCTTAACTTTTTGCTTTTAAGTGACAAAAATTCATTTTATTTTTGAATATTGATAAGTGGCCAGATAAAGCACGGATTCAAAACAAAAAAAACTGAAGTTGAATGTGAAGGGTTCTACTGTCATTGCTTTCATAGCTCAAGACACTTTGGCCACTATTTGTACGTCTTAAACACCGTTATCTAGAAATCTAAAAACTAAAACATTGATAACAATGAAATATTTCCACAGGCTGTATGCTGGAGGGTAACGAGATAGAGAATGGTATGACAGTTACACCACCTAACGCGCCCTGCAAACGTTGTACGTGCGTGGACGGCGTGCTGAGCTGTCAGGAGCCGATCTGTGACTGTGCAGCGCAGGGGAGTGACCACAACAAGTGCTGTCCGCAGTGCGACCCTCGCGCGGCGTGCAAACATCAGGAACTGAGACATGTGGTCTTCCGCAGCGGAGAACGCTGGATATACCAGTGTCAGACTTGCGAATGCCTTGTATGTATTTACTACAGAGTTGGGGAAAACATTAGTAATGTTAGAGACAGGCTTTTAGTAAATTGATTTATTATGACCCTCTCATTTTGACACTTGATCTTAATTTTTTTAATCAACCCAGTAATAGGTTGTATGAAACAAATTCTTCAGTGATATAAATTCCTGTAATTTTTTTAAGTTTCCTAAATAGGTACATCACCTTCACAAGGAGTGTTTTAAAAAATAGATCATGTATTATTTCTTAAAAAAATAGTTTTACAATGTTAGCAAATTCATGACAACAACCTGGACTGCCCCAGAAGTTAATTTGTGGAATTTTTATACAGTTATGCAAGTATATAAGAACATGTTGACCTTCCAATGCATTTGTGTACAATATTTTCAGGTGATTAAGGAATTCTGAGTTCATCCTTAAAATCCATATTCAGATTGGAATTTAGTTTAAACTCAAATAGGTACCGTTTTACGTTTCAATGTACATACTCTATATTTGAACAACAGTAATGATAATCAGTGCTACAAGTTAGCTATTTATGTTGTTTAACAGTTTGGTGAGGTGGACTGCTGGCCGATGGAGTGTCCCCCCACCACGTGTCCTGACCCTCTACTGACGCCTGGCGACTGTTGTCCTCGCTGCCTCAACGACCCGTGCGCCCTGGAGCCTTCCAACACCACCAGCGGCCAGCCCTGCACCTACGCCGGGCGACTCTACGACTCTGGCAGCTACTGGAACGACCCTTACGATAAGTGCACCGCGTGTAACTGTAAGGTAAGCTAACGACCAGAGCTTGACGATTTGTGAAAAGTTTGCCTTTGTGAAAGTTTTCTGTGTCTAAATAAATTCTGTGTAATTTGTTTTTGTTAAGATGGTTGTTATCTTAGTTGTTTACTAACAGTTTTGTTGTTTTTATGTAAACGGTCTTAGAGATGTTACAAGTTAGATTTATTTTTATAAAAAAAAAAAAAAAAAAAAATACTTATATCCTTTGTAGGATTTTTTATTTTTTTAAACTAGGGTATTTTTAAAGTGAATATTGTGGAACAATAAGCCAATTCATAATTTTTTGCTTTCAACAAGAATTTAAAGTATACATTTTTAGAATTAGAGATTCGGTAAGTACAGAGCAACTTAATTAAATGCACAGCTAAATATTGCATCAGCTACAGGTATCGTAATAGGAGATATTTTACCACTTTTACTCTTGTATACCTAGAATTATTTGCGTAATTGCTGACTTTTGGATCAACATTAGTGTTTCTAGAGGTCTAGTGAAGAATATTTGGTGTGGAATTTTATATATAACCTATATGTATCATGGTCCATGACTAAAACTCAAATTATCCAAGGAGTTTTGAAACAAGGTAGGTTGGTAAATCTGACACAACATGATACAGGATTTAGTACTGTGAAGTTATTTTTTAAGTACGGATGAAAAAAACCTATCACCCGAAAACCTTGTGAGCACTAGTCTTACACCAAATTCCCTGTAGGCCTGGTGAATACCAATTTAGTTTGAAAAAGTCAGGAAAGAAATGAAAATAAATTTGTTGGCAAATCAATCATGTTTAAGTTATAGAGTTGTTACGTATTTCATTAGTAATGGCTATGAATGATATTTATATTTAGAATAGATACATAGTACAGTTATTAGTGATTATCATTTCAATATTTTAAGGTGTCTGTAATCAAATTCAGTTATGTTAAAACTTGCATAGATTCATTTACAGAAACAGTGTAATATATACACCATTCCTATGTCTCTTAATGGAGACAGAAATTGTGAATATCAAATTAAAGATATGTTAACTGATATTCCTTATCTCTAACAAAAATCCTTGAATAATTATTTTTACTGATGTCTTAATTGAATTTCCTAGATTAGCCGCTTAGTTTGATTTATGTTATTTTTTACGATTGTTGAATACTTACTGTAGTTATTAACTTTTATGTTTGACTGATTTAACCCCAGATGTGTCCCATGTGCAGCTTTGCTCTAGGTGACCTCTGCCTATTTGCAAGACAACCTACTAACAATACCCCGATATTTCAGGTGCCGTACTGCGCAACTTTGGTGAGCAATTTGGCGTGTTGTGTGCATCGGTAATCACTTGATAAACTACATTTACACTTAAATTTAACAATGCAGTGTTAAGCTAACAAATTTACTATTAACCTACTCAATCTGTCTAAAAGCACTACTTTTTTGCTCGTCAAAGTTAGCACTATTTTTTCAATGCACAATTTATTCACTCACTTTTCTTCTGTTTCGTTATTTTATGTTGCTAACGATTGTTTGATGACGGTGTGGGAGATAGGAATTTTTGGGTTTATGTCACAATCTTGTTAGTAGTCCAAACTATTTCTAAGACCTCCAGTTTATATAATATTTGTAACATAAAATGTGTATATGCACAATTTAGAGTAGGTACTCACATTTAAAAAATATAATGCAATAAGATTACTGTGTCAAAAAACTATTTTATTGAAGATTTTTCCAATATATAGGTATGTCTGGATTAATGGAATTTTGTGTTCACAAACAAAAGCCGTACATTTTCAATTTATACACATATTTATTTCCAACGTGGATCAGTCCAGGAAACACTGACAATGGTTCACTTAATTGTTTTGTTGGCAAATTGTAGTTATTTCATTTCACAAACATTTATCAAACTTTTTAAGGTTTACAGTAAAACACCCTAATGAAACAATCTATAATGGGTAAACACTAACAATGTCTTTGTTTTCTTGAATTCGGAAATTTCTTTTCAGTCCAGATTTTTATTTAGATTTGATGGGGTACTTATGGTGATGAGAAGAGTGAGTGAATGCATGAACGCACTTGTCTTGCGATAGAAGCAGCTGCACCTTCCTATCGAGCCGCATGTTATGATTATTCTCTTTATATATTGTTTGCTCTCTTGATTTAACTGTTTCCTCAATACCGACACTCCTCTCCTCCTCTTCCTATGCTTTACAGCAAACTTCGCCTAACATTAGCTGGGATCAAGTGCATAAGAAATCACTAAGTGTAAGAGTGAAAGACATGATTAAAAGAATTGAGTCACAAAAGTACGAGTTGATGAAACTCGTATCGTAAAACTTTGATTAACTAAAATATGAGATTAAGTTAGGTAGATGGATTTGGAAGGATAAGCCTTTCTGTTATAGTGGTAAAATATTAATCAAATGGTTTTAGAGATTGAAACAGTAAATTCATTCAGCTTTATTAAAGAAATTGATTGAATTAATTGAAAGGTATCAATGCATTCTTAGTTAGTATAGTAATTAAAGGACCTTAATGAGTTCAAGAAAAATATCTTCCGATTGATTTACCCCTAATCAAAAGATTCAATACCAAAGGCCCTCCTAATGCAAGCGTTAACTACCAAAGGCTAATAATTAGTGGCTAATTAGCAATCTTGTACTACATAAAATGTACAATTAAACTTTTTGACGAGATATATATTTGTATGTAATGCCTGCATTAACGTTAGTACCATTTCTACTCCATTGTCAACCTAGTCAAGTGAAGTATACTATAAGTAACGGGTGGATACTCAGTCGTAGTGTTTGACACAGTGTCTTGTTTCAGGACGGACGGTTATGCTGCACTTTTGACCTCCGCTGCGCTGCTGCTACTCAACTACCGCGACGAGCTACTTCCCCGACTCCACCGCCATCGCAAACACTGCTTCACACGACTGCGGCTGAGCCTGCTAGTGCTAATGACACTCGTGCTGTCCGCTCGACCCCACGAGGCTAACATAGTTCCTTACGTGTGTTTTTGTGCATTTTTACCGGATGATTTACAGGATTTCTATGTATTTTCATCTGCATTGTGAAATACGCTTTGCGTTACCTTGCGAGAATGGAGGCCTTGAAAACTATTTTGTTTTCTAGTATTTATTCGTACGTCGCCGGACCGACGTTACCCGAAGCTGTCTCGGCACCGTTAGAAGTACCTTAGCTCTCGACCCGAGGGGCTTTACCTGTGTACGTATTTAGATAGCTTAAGATCGCCAATCTTGCCCACATCTGGTGCCAGTTTAAGCTTGCTTTACGATACTTTTTTATACTTTGATAAGTGTGTAAATACTATATACACGAGGTGTATTTTGTAAAAACGCTTCGTACATGTTTTTAGTAGTTTTTATTATGTTTTGCGACATTTTATATTTTTTATAATTATTTATTTATCTTTACGATTTTTGTTGTCGCTATTATAGTTTCGTTCTTTTTTAAGTTGTGTATTTATGTGTAAAGTAGTACTTAGAAGAGGTTCTAAATGTAAATAGATATCTTTATAAGGTTAATTATATGTTTGTAGATTTGCAACCTGTGGCAATAATACAAAATTACTTCTAATAAGCCTTAATATTGAAAAAATATTAATAATTCGTGCACTTTTGTTAAACAGGGCAGTTCATTAAAAAAATAAATTTTACTTAATCATTGTAAGAGATGTAAAAAATAATTTATAAAAACCTTGTTGCGATTAACCATACCTCCTCTACTAGCTTTAATATTTAGGCTACAACATTGTGATACTTATTCCATGTTTAGGGCTTAACTAAAATAACACCTTAGTTCAAAAATTATTATTTTGATGCAAACAAATATGATACGCTTGTAAGCTGATTTATAATACAAGGGTTCGAATACAGAAATATTCACACAGCATTTTTTTTTATAAAAACACACACCTCATATTCCATGTCACATTTTCTGCCATTGTAAAAACAAAACCCACAAAAATCAACAACCGACAGAGTGTCCTATTGCAGCAATAGTACTGATTAAAATGTAATGCAATATCATATTGTCTGTGTGTTTCCCCCTTAAAAATTATATAAATTAATATTCTTGAGCTCCGTTAACCGTCGCAACGATATAATGACAATCATTCGCCAACGACAACTATATTGGATCAGATGTAGGCAAGAATTTCCTATCCTTGTATAGAATATTTTATATTTAGTATATAAATGCAATAAATTTCTTAAAGGTAATAGTCTGCATTGCATAGAATATAAATATGTACATTCCTTTATAGGAAATAGCTTGAGGCATTCGGTCTAACAGTAACGCACAGTTTTTCTTCATTGTGTTCTCTCAACGTTAGATGTAAAATATTAATAATACTATAACAGAGGTAATATGACAACAAAACCGATACTATTCAAACTTCATCAATCATCACATTTTACTTTCAGGCCTTTAATTTTAGTTAAGTTTTGAACAGGTATTTTCTGTATATTTAGATTAAATCTATTCTTTAAATCAATTATAAAAAATCATTTCCTTTAACAATAATTGTCCACATTATTTATTTCAGTTTTTGAAGATGAATACATTTTGGGATTGAAGTACGTTAAACTATAAAAGTAAAGAAAAATATTTAATTGAATAAAGTCAACAAATAATTCCTGAACTCATCAAAAATAATATACATCAAAACTAAGTCTTGGTTGATATTCAAATGATTAATATCTATTCTAAGTAAAGTATTATAATTCACTTTATTTTTTCCAATTAAATTTACATTAACAGGTATTTAAAGGTGAAATACCAATGTTCAAGACAAACAGTACCTTTTGCTTAAGATTGTAAAATTTGTAGCCATTTGCAAAATCACCATATGCATACAATATTAATTTGCTTTTATACATTGGGATCTGCATTCGCTTTGTAGTTTCAAACACATGTTCAAACTTACTTGTACTAGTCTTACCAGGTAAATGTGTGATGCTAAGTCGTAGTAACCGAATCGAGTGCCAAATGGCAAGAACTGAGGAGGAGGAAGAATTACCAGCGTAACCACTTACACAAGTATGGTATTTCGTTTGTATTTAAGTCAATAATAATACGAGACTGATGAAATGTAAAAATAAATATGTATGTCACTTAAGTAGGGCCTAACTTAAGATTTGTATTGTGAGAAATACTGATGAAAATTGATTGTATCAGGGAAAACAAGCAATAATTTTTAGTTCATAAGTTTCAACAAAATTATAAAAAATAATATGAAGATTAGCTCAAATTTTGCTCTTTGCTATAATTGAAAAAAATTTTTAACAGTTTTAACACTAAAGGCCAATCATAGAATTTCAATGTCAATGTTTCGAGGTTGGTAACAACTTTTGAGCAAACTTTGGTTTAAACACAAAGGCTTATTTTACACAGCTGTAGACTTTCAAAATCTGTTGATAAGCGTAATAGCATAAGGTAGCCAATCCTAAAGTTTGTTTTCCTAAAGAGTAAATAGCTAACAGTACAGACTACCTTAGGCCTGTGCAGTGCTGCAACAATTTAACTGAGAACCCCCTGAAAAGTATTGTTTTACATCCCCTTTTAAGCTTTAATTAAAAGAAATAAAACATAGATAGCATATTTATTTTTTTTTACTTCACTGATGGATCATTGTAATTAATCAATCAAGGAAAATGAAGAAAAAATAAAAGACCTAAATTAAACAAGATTTTAAATGGCCCAAAAATGTGTTTGTGCCATTGGATACCCACAAGTAGCATGGACGATTACACCACTGTACTTGTTAAATATTTAAGCAATCCACATTATCACAGAGAATAAGGTACAGAGGAAACACACTTATGGGACAATCGTGCGTATGTTGTTATACTTGTGACGAGCAAAGAAGAGCCCGAACAGCTAGCACTGTACAGAAATTCTTATCACCTAGGGCACAGGGTCTTCCTCACGAGGGCGAGGAGCACAGTTGGACTTTGCCCTATACACCACTCAAGTGTACCATGGAGTGTATCCTATGTTCTTTACTTCTCCGTGAAATTAAGCGTAACTGATAAACAATATTTTTGTTTTAAATTGTAAAATACATGTTTAACATTTTAAATGTACCAGAACAAAAACAAGACAGTAAATTATAAGCTCGAGTCCGAAAATTTCCTAGGGAGGAACAGGAAATTAATAATCTAAGAAATTTTGTTTATGAATTAATTAATAATAAAACCTTTTTGGACTTCATTTGTCTTATTAACGGAAAATCCATAGCAATAACTATTACAGTATCTTTGAATTCATTAAGCATTACTGTATTCAAGATTATGCTGTTGAACAACTTTATATTGATTTTATTTAACTTAAAACCAAAGTTTATATTATTATTACGTAGTAACTCTATCTGTAACAGCATGATTTTATCCTTTATACGCAATAGTTTTAGTTCCTATGAAAAATATTGTATTGTAGGATTAAAACAAAAAAAATTGTATGAGATTTACCATAATCTTAACTACTTTAAATAACATTACCAAATGTTTTGATACTTATATTGGTGATGTCCCTTAGAAACCAAAGATACAACAAATAATCACTATTGTTTTTGTATGAGTTTTTTACAACTGTTCTTTAAAAACAAAACATGGATAAGTTAATTAACTTTCACAAGTGGTAGTAAGTTTAGTTAGTACCTATTTTAAGCCATATTTCTTTACCAAACCCATTTCTCTTTAGGCTAAAACAAAGCTTTATCAAGCTTTAAGAGGCTAAGACATTATTGTTAGCATTAGAAGTCTATTATTATTGTTTAGATGAACAAACCAAAGAAAACTAATTGCAAAGAGTTGGATGAACTTGAATAAGAATGGTCATGTGTTATTCAAAGTGAAAATAACATCTTACAATAGTGAGCTAATATTAAGAATGTTTCATAACTACAAAAAATTCAAAATAATGGATTCTTTACAATGCTATTAGTTGGTTTTTAAATCTATTCAAACAGAAGGCACATAATCGAATATAGAGTCTCCAGTATTTTTTATAATTTAAGTAGTATCGTCTAGTCATCTGTTAATTTGGTATTGAACATATAAATATTATATTATATAAATAAGTAAGCTCGGCCTGATACCTCATATATCATGAAATACATATTTATGCAGATTTCAGTTATCTAATAGAAAAATAGAAATAAATTGTTATTAATAAATAAATAGATTGAACTTGTTTTAGTGTGTTTATTTTTTGTGCTAATAAAAAGAAAACAATGTTGACATTTGGTATGCGTGAATTTGTATTATTTCACCTATCCAGCAGTTTAGTAGACAGCCGATAGTTCGGTTTAAATGGAAGCCCTAAAGTATCAGATGTCATGAGTAAGCTAACAAAACCTTCATTCAACACAATTCGTCCAAGTACTAATATAAACTAGAGGTCTTCCAATGGTCTTCTCTATTCAAACCCCCCAAACAAGCTCTATAAAATGGTTTAAAAAGAAATTCAAAAATTTTATATTTGAGGGATGCTAAAACTGTAAAAACCCAATCTTTCCCATATAACCACACTTCCTTACCTCCCCCACTTCTTTCCTTTCCCACACTCCGATTATTCTGGTTTGTGATCTCGTTCAAATAAACGTCTAGGCTTACACTTTTCTATCAGATTTCATCAAAATTGGAATACTTTTACTCAAGTTATCACACACATAATGTATACGGTAAATATAAATTAGAACAGATAAGCTAGTGTTTTTGGCCTCTAGGTAAATCAAAACAAAAAGTAACACAGAATCTTGGTCTGTCAGGTCGTTAAAACCTGCCACCTAGTTGGAAATTTGCTAGAAATAAAGAAAAGGCTGAAGATTGTACAAGATACGTGCTGTAACCTGTGAATGTGAAAGAGGCCTCGGATTACTGAGCTAAGATGTTTGAGTTTGCCACTATTTGTTAGTACAGTGTGTGTTAGTAGTAGACTGTTTGGGAGCAAGCTGGTCTAGTGGTGCTCGAGGCTTCGAAGCCCGAGGTCCCAGGTTCAAATCCCGCCAATGGATGTTATCTATGTGATAATGCCACGACCCTCTAAGACTAACCTGAAGTATACTAATGTGTAAAATAGTGATTCGTCTTACTGAGATATTTCAATGCCAATAGCGACTGCTGATTCAGTAGCGCCCTGGGCCTCGACGCAGTTTAGGAGCGCCTATCTTAAGGTTTTCAGCAGTCAACGTGTTAAGGATTTCAATCCTGTTCCCCACAGGTGTTGTGTGCAGATCACAAGGAGATCACCCCTCAGTGGCTTGGTAGGAGAGGACCACCTAAAAAAAGTAATGGAATCCTCGGGTGGAAGTTAAAGGGTTAAGTGGCTTATTGTGAGATGCACCTCTAAGGCCATTCACTTTTTACTCAACCTTACATGTGTTCATTGAAAATTAACTTGTTTCTTAAGATAGGTATTGGATATTTATGCTCATAAAATAGAGAGAAAACTTTAGAAAATAAGTAGGCCTATAATTTAATCCCCATTATTTTAAATTTTATGATACAATACAAAATAACATAAGTTATAGGACTATATCATCATATCAAAAGAAATATATAGGCTAGAACCTAGTCAAAGCATGTAAAACCAATTTGGCCACGATGAAGTAGCTACTTCTTACAACAAAATTAGTCTTGTCTCCTCAATAGGTCTTTGTATTCCCTGATTTATTGAAAGAATTGAGTGACAAACCACTTTGTTACCCAAGACTAACACAGTCTACTCTGTCAGAGAAGTCTTTAAGATTATACTTCCTCGACCCAAGGAGAAAAAACAAAAAAAATATCACAGCAGAAAAGGTTTTATTGCCCTAAACCTTATTATTTGTTAACATTCCTCTCAAACTTAAAAAGACTATTTCAACAAGTGGGAACAATCTGTTCTACAACAATTCACTTAGAATGACTTACTCAAAACTGCAGAGTGTCATGATTAATTTTGGTAGAGAAGCTCAAAAGAAGACTTTTTAAATCATCTTCACAAGCCCCTGGGAGTTATCTGCTTACTATCTTGACAATCTAGAAACAAACAGATTTTTAGTTCAAACCCTGGTATAGTTTGATTTTTGACTATTGATAGAGCTTTAATATACAAAAGTCAAAGGTTTAACTCAATACCTAACGATAGGTACCTATTTAGGCTAATTTTAAAATTATGTCTACTGAGTTTGATTTGATAAACAAGCATGTCTCCAGCTTATGACTTAATAGGTCTAAGTTAAGTTAAGTCTAGACTATAGCCTACAACTTATTTTGTCAGATAACTTCGAACTCGGCAGGGCCAAAAAGTTATTACAGATCCTTTCCTTTATCAAACTTAACAAACAAGACTTTAAGACCAATTCTAGCGGCCTTTTGACCTGAAAGAAATACAAGTTGTAAGGTAGCTATCTGAGTTTTCTTTAACTGTTTGTCTGAAGGATAACATTTGCATCTTGTTGTCTAAACTTTTAGACGGGCAGGCCTATCCCTCGATTCTAAATTGGTTTAAGACGTCTCTTAATGATTATGACTCGTTTTACAAAAACCCCAAAACTGTTTCATAGTTTGATGGTTGGGTAAGTTGCAACATAATGAACATCATAAACAGTAAGTTGCAATATATAATGCAGTGTAGGCTATGTTATTTCAATCTCTACCTACTTGAAATGGACAGTAGGCTTCCAGGAAAAAAGTAGACTGCCTTATAAACTAAAAAGTCTTTAGGTTACTTTCATATACAGCTAACAACTAGACACAATACACAATTCACATACAATAACAACTTAAAGTAATTAATTACAAGAGGTTCTACCCGCGAATTCACGGGTGTACAGAAGCCACCATTAAATTAATTTAATCAACTTTGACTTTATATTTCATTTCAAGGGCCCAAGTTCGAGAAATTGTCATCTGTACATTCATACCTTAGGCTACCTACTTCCTAAGGTGGCCGAGGTGGGTACGGGTTGTACCTGAACTCGCCACTCTCTTTCACGACGTCTTTAATACTTTATTACTTTTCAATGAAATGGCGACCTGTAAATATCGGTGACAACCTCTTGGAACGAACAACATACATGGTTTGTTAATCTCATATTCATTGTGTTTCGAACAGCTTTATTCACTCACTTGTAACAAACAGCTAGATATAGCTTCACTGTCCATTCACCGCACCTCTTTTAAGAACATAAAAGTAAGTAATAAAATAAGTAAACAAAAAATGTAAACAAACAAACTATATTGTCAATTGCATTGGTCAGCTGTTGTTCACTAAATTATTCAAATAACATTAACTTCCAAAACATGCAGGGCGTAGCCCTTTGGAAATAAACATTTGGGGCAGAGCCCTTAGGGAGTTCGTCCATATCAATACTTTTCGGCAAATCTACACACTCTAAGCTTCATTTTGATATTCCATATGCCTATATTTTTATTTGGTAAATGACCTTAACCGTTTACATAAAATTAGATTGTGTTACTTTAATAATATAATAGATGTAGGCCTACAGTAGACTCCCTCTTATCCGGACACCTTTTAACCGGATATCGGTTTAACCGGACTACACTCGGTGGAAATTAAATCTCTTTAACCGGACCATTTTTATCAACACATTGGTTTAACCGGACTAGAACGGCAGAAAGTGGGCGGTACTGAAACGACTGCTCTCATGGGTAAGATTTGAGACCACATGTCTAAATACAATGCTCTCCTAAATTTAAGTTAAGAATCTCACAGTAAACGGTCCGTTTTAACAAGTTTTTGGGGACGTCGGTTTAACAGGAAAATCCGTTATCCAGACTGGCCTCGGTCCCGAGGAGTCCGGATAAGAGGGAATCTACTGTAGCCTATGTATATCCGTTTTGGTGAAGAACTAACCTGTGATTGTAAGGATTCAATTTGGATTCCATATAGGCTAGGAAGGCCTATATTGATTTGTTTTCTGAGAAATAACGAGCTAATTTATTTAGCCTAAATTAGTTGTCGTCACATTCATATTGCAGAGTTACATTTGTAGTATTAAAATGCTTTGTAAGGACTTCTAAAACTTCATTTTGAATCCAATCAACATCCTCTGGTGGACAGTAATCATCTTCACTGGATCGAGAGATAGTAATAATGGTTGGCGCACTGGGGAGGTCCTTAATAAATCTTGTAAAACATGTTTCAATCATGTCCATTATTTCAGTTTTAGAAGATACATGTTCAGGCAAGCCTGACTCATCACATGTGCATCCTGCTTCGTGGATCATCATCCAATCGATATCATTGTACAGGCTTTTCACTTTAGTTGCCAACTGCTCAATCTTTGAAATGGGAACCAAATTTCCTGAAAAACCATCCAAATTGCCATTTTTCTCAATGTATGACCAAGCCCAAGCCAACTGGTCAATTTGAGATCTTCTGTGAGTTAGAGCGGCTTTTAAACTTTTTGCACTTTTTTCCTTCGGTAGTGAAAAATTGTAAATAGTTTTCAACTCATTGTAGAGATTAGCATTTTTATAAAGTTGATTAAAAGGATTTCTTGTACTAAAGTAGTCAAGATCTATATCTAAAATATAGGGATCTCCATCATTTACGAGCTTCGTCACAATATCCTTTACTCTAGTCAACTCTGAGGAACTTTTGAGATCATCATTTTCATAAGCTCCAAGTGTCGTAACTTCAAACACAACATCTCTTGAATCTAACAGATCATCTTCAGAGCAATATAAGCAATCACTTAAAAAGTAGTTTTCCATGCTATCTACCATGATTTCACCATTTTCTGCTTTTCCAATTTTAAAATTGTGATTTCCATCGACAATTTGATCAGCCCATGGAGGTTTAATCCACAAAATTTTACTCAGATGGCCGGCAAAAGCGGAAGGTAAAATCCAGTTTTCAATGCTCAAACTATCAAATAACTCTTGTTTATCGAAGACTACATTCGCTTGTAAACCTTGTGGTATTAACATGTCAGGGTGAGAGTCAAAATGCAAAATTGTATTGCCAATGAATGGTAAATGTTTTGATCCAATACACCTATAAATAAAAGGCAAAACATCATTGTGATTCTCCACAACAAAAATCGGGATTTCCTTAAAACGTTTTAGACTGTAACTACATGCATCATCAAACTGTCTCTTACTCATTGTGTAAAAACTGTTAAGTCTAAGATTGTTATAGGCCTAGAAGGTCTAAATCACAATCACACAATTACACTCAAAGGTAAAATTAACTATATAATAGCCAATCTTTTGAGCAATTGGGCTATCAAAGTGTGTAAACGATATTCAGATCAAGACATAACTAGAAATCATACAATAATGTCAAAAGGTTTAAAGGAATAGACATGACACAAGTAAAGTAAGGTTAATAAACCTTACCTAAATGTTAGGTTAGGAATTAGGATTTTGAATTGAAGTCTTTTGAAGTTAGATCAGCTGAGCTGACCAGCTGACTGAAAAACAAACGCAGTGAAAACCACATTCTTTTCTGTCGTAACGTCACTTAAATCTAGATAGCTTAATTTTTCTCAATGCAACTTTCTATTTGTCTTTGATGCAACTCAGCAGAAATGTTGATGTGCGATTTTTATTAAATAATTATTTTAAAGACTAAAATTTGTTTGCTAATTCCTACTTTTGCATATTGATAACCATTCAAACAAACACTATTATAGCTGATCAATGGTTTTCTGTTTGAAAGCCATGGCCCTGTACACATGAGGGCGGCAGCCGCCGCGGTGGCCGCGGCGGCGGCCGCCTAGGACCGTACACATGACAGCGGTTGGAGCCGCGGTTACGCTGCGGTTGCGGTGTGAATTGACCGTCGTTCGACAGCCAGTACTGTATTTACCCAATTATTTTTCTTTTAAACGCGTAACGCTTGACAAATCTTTTCAGCAAAAAACTCAACTAACTCTTGCTACGCAATCTTTTTTAGTTTATGTCCTAAACGTATCTTCTTTTTGTACTTCTGTAATGAACAGATCAGTGTCAAAGTTTTCTGGTTCCACAGCAGCATGCATTGCCATTTAAACTTACACTACGAGCACTACATCAACTCCAGCCACAGCTACACACTTCACCAACACAGAGAGCGATGTGCACAGGGCAAGCGCGCAGATGTCTATGATCCTAAATAGTAGCAACTGCAGTCAACCGCGGCGGCTACCGCCCTCATGTGTACGCTCTCATGCCAACTCTAGTAACTTCAACCGCACGGGAGCCGCGGCGGTCGAAGGGAAATCTACGACCGCCGCGGTTAGTTGCGGTTGACTGGAAGTGGGCGGTTGCATGTGAACGGTCCCATTTGCTCCTTTGTACTTTCAACCGCCGCGGTTCCCGCAAAATAGCAACCGCGGCGGCTGCCGCCCTCATGTGTACAGGGCCTTAGACTCAGCGATTATAGACTACCAAAACCAACACAATGTCTAGACTTCTCATCCCATTGTAAATTGTAAAGCTCGTTTTTAGTGTCTTTCTACTGTAGTTAATGTCCAGTGACACTGATCACTATAGTGTCGACGAAATTTTGTTTAAATTATTTTTGGGTCAATATCATGATTGATTTGTGCTTTTTATACGCGGTGACTGGTTACCAATGTTTCAAAAATTTGTTGGTGTAGTGTGAGTACAAAGTAAATGGAGTGTGATGATATAAAATAAGGGGTTCCAAGTATACAAACTGGCTTTCCAAAGAATTTATTTTTTTCTTTTTTCTTAAATAACCATAAAAACACAATAAAGCAATTCCTCAATTACCTAAAAACTAATTTGAGTAGAAGATGTCATTTTCGTGTTCTACATTAAATTTGGAATAAGAATCAATGAAAATGTTGGTGAGGATCAATGATAAAAACTCCATTGTAAATTGTTCCAACGATTAAAATTTAGGTATGTGATAAAAAAATAATATCATTGGTCTATTGCATATTTCTACACTCTGTATACAGGAAGGTAGAAAAAAATATAGAAAACTGAGCCATTAAGTTTTTCAACGATATGCTACGATATAATGAAGTTTTAGATCTGCTACGTTCGCTTTAGTGGTTTGAAGACTCCAAAACATGGCCGGGTTTTTAACATGTTAAACATAGATACTAGCAAGGCAACATTTAATGTTGCCTTAAAAGTAAGCATTTGAATTTGAATTTTCAGCATATAGTCCAGTAATTTTAGGCAATAAATAGCCATCTACAACTACCTGGAAATAATTCCCTAAGTGGTGAAAATTTGCACATGTGTAGTACTAGTACCCAGTAATAACATAACATCAATGATTTTTAAATTTTTATCAAAGACCTTCATTTTAATGAATCTTTGGAACGATTTACAATGGAGTTTTTATTATTGATCCTCAAACATTTTTAAAATTTAACGTAGAACACGAAAATGATATCTCTACTCAAAACCGTTTGCAGGTTGATTGAGAAATTGATGTATTGGGTTTAAAAACATGGTTTGGGAAGCCAATTTGTAGACTTGGAATCCCTTATATGCATCATCACGTAGCGTCTCGTCATTGTTTTTTCCTTCCACCTCCACCATGGGCCTTATCGTGAATTTGTCTGTGGTTTTATTTATGAAAAATTAATTTATGAATGGGATGGGAAGTCTACTTTTAATACTAATTTATGGTTTTAATGCTTACGGTTTATAAATAATAATGTTGAATAGGTAAGTATCAGGTAAGAATTAATTTTCACACGGTGGTAGCACTGCTTGTCTGAATGCAGACGACATGAAGTAAGAATCAGGCTAGCCAGCCAGCAAACTGAAAGCACTTAGCAGACAACGAGACAACGCAAGAAGCCAAGAAGCGCTATTAAAACTAAAGGTAACCTTAAACTTATTTTACTAGACTCATTTAGCCTATTTTAGTGTAATTCTGACAAATTACTAATACCTATCAGCCAATTTGGGTACAATTTCTTAACTCGTTTTTGGTAAGGTAAATAATCAATCCTATTTAACAACATATAACTTAGTAAAGTTTCCCACTGTTAGTTCCAGTTTAATTTTAACGCTTACATGTAAAAATATAAATTAAAATAAGGTCCTAATAAATCAACAACTTTACAACTCTTATTATAACTTTATTCAATTTCAAGTTGTCTTTGCAATAGCCTCACAAGTATCACAACTCAGTATTATTATCTGTACATACTCATTTAACTCGTTAATATGGGCATTGTGCATTTCACTATGCTTATACCAACTTGTGGGAAGCTTTAAACTTTCAACAATGCTGTTTTGCAAATGTTTTGTGTTTTGCAAAGGCCTAACTTAAGTTATTTGTCTTTCTCATATCGTCTCTTATTAATGTTTAAGAAATTAACTAAAAAGTGGTTTGTTGCACAAATCACAATAAAAAGTAAAACATGGGAGTTGAGGGCTGCACTTTACTTTCGGCGCAGCATTTTTGAAATTATTATTTATTGTGTTTGTAGTACTTTTTACAAAGTGCATTTAAACAGTCTGGAGATAATATAAATCAACTACCGTACTTGATTCATTGTAACCTAAAAACTTCCCTAATCCAACCTACCTTCAAAAAGGACTTAATACAGTGACGAGTCCACATAACATCCAACCTACCAACCTCACATGTCTTTTTCAACTTATAAAACAAATTTTAAACTGTCCGAGAATTTTGGTTGGGTTAGGTTAGAATAGGGTGTCAATTTGTTGTTTATTCATTTTATTAAAACTGCCACTACACTGTTATCCTTATGGGACATAACAGTTACATGGTCAAAACCTAAACTAAGCCATTCGGTTAAGTGAAGAGAAGAACTAAATGAATTCCTTCTTCAATTTTCATAATCCAGTCCCCCATGATGAAATGATGATGATGAAGATGAGCAAGCAATATAAAGTCTGTACACCCCCAGTTAACTTTATAATGTGTGGCAGTGGGTAAACCAAACTCGGCACATGTTTACAACCGAAAAAATTCACTTTTTCATTAAAGTTAGAACTTGTACCCAGCCCCCAAAATGGGGTATTTTGGAGGCAGCCCCAAATCTTCAAATGTAAAAACAAAAACCTATCATGTGACCCCTCATTTTGAAGGGTTTCTTAAGACAAATTAAATGGCGCAAACTAGAGGTCAATATCGCTCCCCTAATCAAAATGGCAGTCATTTTGAAATATCCCCTATTAACTTTTTAATAGGTTATAGCAGGAAAACTAAACTAAACATTCCTTTATAAAAAAAGAGAATCCACGTTTCGGTCAGTAAGTTATTAAAATATTAAATTTTTAATGTTAACTGGGGGTGTCCAGACTTTATCTTGCTTGCTCATCTTAAATAATTAAAATTACTGTCATTTTGATTAGGGGTGTGATATTGACCTCTGGTTTGCACCATTCAATTTCTCTTGATAAACCCTTTAAAATGGGAGGTCACATGATAGAGGTTTGCATTTGAAAATTTGGGGCAGCCCCCTAAATACCCCATTTTGGAGGCTGGGGCAAAGTTGTAACTTTGATGAAAAAGTGCAATTTCTTATGTTGTAAATATGTGCCGAGTTTGGTTTTCCTACTGCAACGCGTTAAAAAGTTAACTGGGGGGTTCCAGACTTTTGCCTAACCCTGTATGCTCATAAACAAGCAAACTACAACAGTTGACTTATTATCTATAAGAATAACATCAGCTAGGAATTTTAAATTTACAATTTTTTGGAATTTTCTCCGCAACCATTAGGCGCATAATAACGCTTCAATGTAGGCCTACTAAATTATTTGTTTTTTAAGCTCTACAAAATGGTCTTTAACATTCTACAATTGATTTTAACATTCTAGGACATAACAAAAAGTCTCAACTACAGGTAACATTATTTCTGGTTTTATATATACAGTAAATTGCAGAATTGACTGGCAAATAATTAATTAATAAAAATTGTGTATTGCCTTAGTGATAAATCACGATGAGCAGTATTGAAGTAAACAAAAATCAGCTGTAAATGGCTTCTAATGCTATTTTTATGGAGAACATTTTATATTATATCCAATTTTGTGTAAACATTTTGGGACTTTCACTATTTTTCTCGCGTCACGGGACACAAGGAATCGCCTTACTTAATTAAATGTATAGATAGTCACTATTATATTCTAGTTGATGTTACGGTATGTTTATGTCAGTTGCTGGTTCACTTATTACCAATATCGTTGATAAAACACAGTCGGCTTGCTCCACCAGACTGTATTGCTGAGCTCTACCGGTAGATGGAAATATTTGTATTTTATTTAATAAAATTCTAACACAAATGTTTGTATGTTTTTCAGGTTAGTTTCTTTAAGACCGCCAACATTTTCCCCAGATTACGGAGTATCCTGATAAAAATGGCTTTAAAAGACTTGTCAGCATTTACTCCTCAAGAATACAAAACGTTTTTAGACTCTTTTGACACAGTTTTGACAGATTGTGATGGTATGTATAATATATGAATAGTTAATTCATTTTTATTATGCCTTCCTATTTATTCAATTTAGTCTACAGTTTTTTATTTCCTCATAAGAAACGAGTAGCCAATTCACCGTTCATTACAACTAATGTACACTTTTATTTTTAGGTGTACTTTGGATGGGAAATGATATCATATCAACAGCTCCAGATGTAATGAATAGATTCAAATCAATGGGGAAAAAGGTATTTTATGTCACCAACAACAGCACTAAGACACGAGATGAGTTTGTTCAAAAGTGCAAAGCTCTAGGATTCAACTCAACAAAAGTAAGAGACACTCATTTACATAAGAAAACATGATTCATTGTTAAAATTTTTAAATCCAATCATTTGATTTGATGGTGAAAGTTATGCTTGGTTTTGAATGATAAAACCACCTTTTTAAGGCTTTTTCTGGAGAAAGATTTCCAATATAGAGACAGTTCTCTTCAAATAAGAAATCAGTATTTTTAAGTTTTACTTACAAAAATAATGTTCAAAACTTAAAACTCAATACATAGATAATTTTTTGCATGAAAAAAATTCTACGAATTCCATTCCTCTTTGTTCCGGCTCTAATTGAGCCTGTTTTTTTAATAGTCCCTAAGCAGTCGCTTTAAAGCAGTGTGTTCTAAGCAGGTGTGGACCAACTTTGACAAAAATTAAAACCCTTAACATTGTATTCAAATATAACGTTACATACTTATCAAAAGTATCTTCTCATGCTAAATGTATTGAGATAAAATTTACAGAGGTATTCATATCCATGATTATTTTAATAAAACTAAATGTTCACAGGAAGAAATAGTAAGCACAGCACATCTTACTGCCAACTACTTAAAGTCACAAAACTTTAACAAAAAAGTCTACATTGTTGGATCTTCTGGGATCGCGAAGGAGTTAGATAATGTTGGGATAAAGAACTTTGGTGTTGGTGTAAGTACACAATTTATTACCTGAAGAATCTTATTAAAAAAATACAGGGATAGTCACACCATAGAACTGAAAATAAGTTGAACTGTGTGTGTGGCTTAGCATTCTTTGCACATTAAATTTTGTGTAAACTCAGCAACAACTTACCATACACAATATATTTTTAAAGGAGATCTAATCAAGAAAACAACTACCTTATGCTACTACAGTAGACTCCCTCTTATCCGGACACCTCTTAATCGGAAATCGGTTTAACCGGACTACACTCGGCGGGAATATCTCTTTAACCGGACAATTTTTATCAGCACATCGGTTTAACCGAACTAGGTCGGCAGGAAGTGGGCGGTACTGAAACGGCCGATCTCGTGGGAACGATTTGAGACCAGTGATCACATGTCTAAATACAATGCTCTCCTAAATTTAAGTCAAATACGCATTTAAACAACAGTCCATTTTTACGAGATTTTGGGGGCGTCGGTTTAACCGGAAAAACCGTTATCCGGACTGGCCTCGGTCCCGAGGAGTCCGGATAAGAGGGAGTCTACTGTAACGAGAATTTTTTGTTTTGTAAAAAATATGCCTTTACATTCCTTGATGCTCCAGCCAGATCCGATGACTACCAACATGACAAAGTTAGTGACAGAGGTGAAGCTAGAGCCTGACGTAGGTGCTGTGGTGGTTGGGTTTGACGAACACTTCAGTCTACCCAAGATGCTGAAGGCTGCGACGTACTTAGAACAGAAGGGGTCGTTGTTTATAGCGACAAACACAGACGAACGATTTCCCACTGACACTCACATCATGCCAGGTATGTTATTGCATTTTACTAAATCTCCCTATAGGGAAGTAGCTATTACCGTAGGTCTCATGGTAGGTTGATAAGTTCAGTGAAAAAATGTGATGCTAGCTGAGGAAAAGGTTGGGTGGATTATCTGATGTTAAGGTCAGGAGGGTTTCTGGAGTCAGTAATGTATTGGTAGGCTATTTCCCACCTTCTGAGTAGGGAGCTCTTGGATTGGTATTTGGGAGTGATTTGATAGAGTTTTGTGGTAAAATATGTAAAAAAAAAAATTAAAAAAAGTTATGTTTTGCTGCATGTATGACAATGGGCTTTTCCTTTATTTCTAATTTCAGCAATGGCCAATTGGATTTTCTAAATTAAACCCCGCTGTTCTTACCTGTAGGCTTCATTTTGAAAGAGTTGTTTTGTCTTCGGATTGTATTATACTCAAAATGGTTTACAATACCTTATTACAGTAATCCTTGATTGCTGTAGTGGTAACTAGTTTGGATTCTTAATCCAAACCAACATCAGGCCTACAAGGTGTCAGGTATTCACTTCATTCAATGGTCATCAACAGAGGTCAATTAAAAACCTCTAGAATAGCAACATGTAGGGGTATATAGAATAAATTGGCTTTAAAATATTAACTCATAGCTAACCTAATTGGTAAACAATTCAATTGTTAATACCAATAGTTAATCTGTTTATAGGGATGTGTCGAATCCGAATCTCGAATCCACCGAATCCTAAGAAAAGATTCGGATTCAAGATTCGATTAACAAGATCCGAGAATAAAAAAATTTACATTTACATTTTTTTTAGAATTGACATTTACATTTTTTAAAATAGAATGATAAGGCATATACTGTGACATTGGCTAACCATAGAGGTTATTGATGTCGTAATATACAGTACTGTGACATTGCATGACCATAAAGGCAATCCGTGCAATCTATCAGTTTGGTTTGCAGTTTCCACAGACTGTCCCCACTTCCTTCATGGAATTGTTGATCCTCAATTGATGGATATTTGTTTCAGACTATACCTGTGGTCTCTTGAGGTTACCATATATGGAAAGCTAAATGTAAAACAAGTCTTTTCAGAAAGAGCAATTTTTTACAATATAAAAATGGTTTATTTTACCTTTTTGCGTCGAACGATCCACGTGTAGTTAGTACAACTACAGCTGTTTCATACCACTAGGGTACATCATCAGGTTGTTGGCAGAACGTTAGATAAAACAGCATTCATTCATAGATGAACTTGTCGAAATAAATATGTCTATATACACATAATACACGAAAAACATTTAAAAAACACGAATTTACGAACTTGGCCAAGTGACGAACACACGAGACAGGCGCCGATGGATGTTGGAGTCATGACGCAACATCCATCGGCGCCTGTCTCGTGTGTTCGTCACTTGGCCAAGTTCGTAAATTCGTGTTTTTTTAATGTTTTTCGTGTATTATGTGTATATAGACATATTTATTTCGACAAGTTCATCTATGAATGAATGCTGTTTTATCTAACGTTCTGCCAACAACCTGATGATGTACCCTAGTGGTATGAAACAGCTGTAGTTGTACTAACTACACACGGATCGTTCGACGCAAAAAGGTAAAATAAACCATTTTTATATTGCAATTTACGATCCAGAGGCTAACCCATCATGCAATTTTTTACAAAACCAGCATATATAAAAAAATATTTGCTATATTCTGCTGCTGTTAGAAATCTAAATATAGTGACATATTAAAGGAGTTTGAATACTCTGCATGTACTTTTCCCTAGTTTTACACAAGAGAAAAAATCGGTGCTGTTAGAACTAAATGATGAAAATTTGAGAGTTGAATAAAACGTGTTATGTTTGTTCCAGGCACTGGATCTTTTGTAGCAGCTATCAGAACATGTGCGGAACGGGATCCTGTCATAATGGGCAAACCTGAAGCTTACATCAGAGAATATCTGATCAAGGAACATAAGATTGATCCTAGCAGAACCTTGATGATTGGTGACAGGTAGCAGCACAAGATTTAGATATTTGATATTTTTATTAATTTTTTAAATTATCTCTGAATTAAGTGAACCCTAAATGTTAGCGAATGCTATTGGTTACAACTTAAACATAGCTTTCAAATTACATTGCTTTGTCAGTGATTATTTGTTTGAGAACAATAAATTAATGTTAACAGTTTCACTACCGGGTGTCAGGAGCTTACTTATACAAAAAAGTGTGACACCCGATAGTGAATGTTACTGTAATACCATAGCTCTTGTATTTGCAGCCAATATAAAATATTTTTACTAACTAAAACAAGTTCAAGAGTGGTGTTTACTGCAAAACATGGTTCCTTAGCAACCTCGATAAGAAATGGCAGAAAATCTCTTGATTTCATGCTTCTTGCATTTGAATCTTCTTCTTACAAGCTTAGTATCTACTATTTTATAACTTTCCAAACATCACTACTATACAGTGGGGGAGCAAGCTGGTCTAGTGGTAGAGCGTGGGACTTTGGCCCCTGAGGTCCCGCGCTCAAATCCCACCAAATCACCAATGGATTTTATCTAAGTGATAATGCCGCAACCCCTAGGTCTAGCCTGAGGTAATGTGAAAAACAACCCCGGGCCTAGTGTCCTAGGCAAAATAAATCTCCATAATATTACTCATTTATTCTCTTGATTTCCCAGCAAACAATCAATTGTTTTCCTTAAATCTGTTTTTTTTTTCACAGATGCAACACAGATATTCTACTTGGGACGAGATGCGGGTTTCAGACACTTCTAGTTCTGACTGGAGTCACTAAACTGGAAGAAGCAAAGAAATGGAAGGAGTCAAAAGACAAGGACTTGAATGATTTAGTTCCTGATTACTTCACAGAAAAAATAGGGGATCTTCTACCTCATATGTAGATTGTCATATAGAAACTCGATGTCAAATGTCTTTCAACACTGGTATCATTGTTAGGAGATCTTGTACTTAAATCCAAAATGGAATCAATGCCAAAATCTAGGAGCTTGTTATGAACAAAAGCATAGCTTTTCTTTTCTTATTTAAGTACCTTTGTTAGCTTTAAATGTTTATTAATACTCTGGGGTTGGTGTAGGGGTCTAAATGGGTCCCTGATATTTGGGTCGGCCAACGGTTGGCCTGAAGGATCTGTTCGGGCCTAAAATAATTTTTGGGCAAATTTAAAGTCAGGTAATTTTCGTTTGACTTTTATTTAACCATTCTCACGGTAAACACCATCAAAAACACATATATATTTAATATATATATACAAATACATATTCAAATTCAAATCGATATTATTAATACCCTACATGAAACTTTATAAACTACTTATAAGGTTATTTGTTTTAAGATTTAACCCCAAGTATTAAATACCAAAATGTTCGTCTAGGTGTGTAGATTTGCAAACTGACCTTACATTATTGAAAAATTCTCTTGGACTCTGTCCCAGTGGCTTTTAAAGCTGTCATGTTATCCTAATGAAGAACATGTTTGTTTACATTATGATCAGCTGGATAGTTTAATTGCTGTTAATATTTTAGTTGCAATTTACGGAAACGTGTGCTACAAACATTTACTGACTTGGTTGAAATGAAATATTTACTATTTTTTGAATTTGGGTTGGCGTAAATATTACAATGGAAAAAAACCAGAAAGCCTGGACAATTTGATATACTAAAAAGAAAACTGAATTAACACTGTGCTGCATTTCTTGACCAATCATTGAAAGAGCCGATTTGCAAACTATGGATACATAGGAAAGTCATAGAACACTACCAAGTAGAAGAAATAGAAATAAAGTGTTTTTTAAAAATCTATAATCATTATAATGGACAACCTAATGCGGCTATGAGTGGGAAACATGCGTAAAAAACACTAAAAACAAGATCAGCTTTTGAAAAATGATAAGATATTTACAAGAAATGTTGTTTATATTGAACTGTTATGTACATCGTGAGTATTTCCATAATCTTTGAGTCAACTCTTTTAAAGTAATCCGAAATTATGACTGTTATTCGTTTTAAAATAACGCCTGTGATTCTTCGCGATTGCTCGAATTCGAGCGGTATAATTTATTCAAGAATACAATATACATATAAAAAATAAATATATACCTATCTATACAGGGTGTCTCACGAGAGGTGTCTCAAATTGATTACTGAAAAACGGCTTAACGTAGAAGAATGAATATTTCCCGCTAAATCGACCCCAAGGAATAACGTAAAAATATTTTTAACTTTTTCCCAATACAGGGTGTGCCAAAAACTGAGGGTCACTAGTTCGAATCTCGGAATTTTCAAATGTAAACATATGTCATGTAATACATAATTTTAAAGGTATTTGATAGACAAACATTTTGGCAAAAACAGAAATTAGTTATCTTTTTCCGTTTCAAAATGGCAGCAGTTTTTTGTGGAAAAAAACTATATTTTTTTAATACTCTGTGTTTCCTATACCAATGCATTTATCCCTTCTCCGGTTGATTTTTCTTTCTCGTTATGAAATTAGCTTTACTTCGATATGCTACAAGTAACGGTTTTTTGAAATTATAAAAATTCCAAAAAAATTTATTTTTGAAAATTCGCAAATGCTCATTTTTCAAAATTTTCAAATAGCAACATATGCCAAGTGGCACATCATTTTATAGGTTTTTCAATTCCTAACAACTCTGTAATTTACACTTACTTCGTATCTCTTTTAGATTTTGCGTAAATAACAAAAAACCTAATTTTCCTATATCAAATGCATGTAATTTGGGTTTGACGTGGTTTAACACTTTATCTAATTGGGCCTTTAGTGTTAAACCCAAATAACATGCATTTGATATAGGAAAATTAGGTTTTTTGTTATTTACGCAAAAACTAAAAGAGATACGTAGTAAATGTAAATTACAAAGTTGTTAGGAATTAAAAAACCTATCAAATGATGTGCCACTTGACATATGTTGCTATTTGAAATTTTTGAAAAATGAGCATTTGCAAATTTTCAAAAATAAATTTTTTTTGAAATTTTTATAATTTCAAAAAACCGTTACTTGTAGCATATCAAAGTAATGCTAATTTCATAACGAGTAAGAAAATTCAACCGGAGAAGGGATAAATGCATTGGTATAGGAAACACAGAGTATTAAAAAATATTGATTTTTTCCAAAAAAACTGCCGCCATTTTGAAACGGAAAAAGATAACTGATTTCTGTTTTTGCCAAAATATTTGTCTATCAAATACCTTTAAAATGATGTATAACATGACATATGTTTACATTTGAAAATTCCGAGATTCGAACTAGTGACCCTCAGTTTTTGGCACACCCTGTATTGGGAAAAAGTTAAAAATATTTTTACGTTACTCTTTGGGGTTGATTTAGCGGGAAATAATTTTATTTCATCCTTTTACGTTAAGCCGTTTTTCCGTAATAAATTTGAGACACCTCTCGTGAGACACCCTGTAGGTATATATATATTTCCCAAAGTAACCTCAGATTTTGATCAGAGACCTGAAGGCATATTTTAGCAAGCCGGACCCAAATTAAAAAAGTCTAGACGACAGACCCATAAAGTGGACACACATTTCAATTTAGTTTCTATTCAAATATGATTTTGTATAGTAACACGCTAGTCAATTATTTAGAACTGTTTTAGAATTGAAATGCACAAAATGTATATACAGTGGTTTTTAACTTAAAAGTAATTAATTGTTGATATTAGTTTTACCGGTTAAGACTTTGCATTCCAAATGCTAACTTTAAGATTGTTATAAATGTAGACAATTGTAGGGGAATTTAATTAAAAGTGTGAAACAAAAAATGTTAATGATAAATTGTAGGCACTAGGCATGCATATTTAGTTCTGTTATATATTTTTGGTAGCTCCAAGCATAACACTCATAAACTTATATCATATCTAAAAGAACAAAAATTGCTTTGAATTCTTAGTATTAATTAATTAGTTTGACTTACAATTTTTATACTTGCTAAAATTTGCTGGACAGATTATCATCTCTCCTTATCTGCATATTATTGTAATTGGCATGACTTTAATAAACCTTATCCAAATCAATAAAAATTCAATCCCTTAATATTTTTGTTGTTATTTTAAAAACCTGTTTGAAAGTCTTATTTGAAACTCACGACTATAGTCAAGAGAAAAATAATTGTAATCACTAAAAGAGTTTATAGTGCTTTTTTGTCACTGTCAATAATACTGATTTTGGCTTAAAGGTAAATGATAAAATTAAATTAGCAAAGTGACATCTTACAGTAAATTAATTCTAAACCAAACCAAAGTTTGGCGCTTAGAAATAAAACAAAAAATACAACCAAATAAATCCTATAATCTAAAACAAGCGCATGTATTGGAAAATTTTTTTCTGTACGAGGATTTTTGATTTTCTCCCCTTAATATGGGGTATTTGGTCACGAGAAATAAATTGGAGTTGATCACAAGGCTGGGAAAAATCCAGTTTCAGTCTTACAGCCCCTTGAAAGTGCCCATGTTATCGTCAATACGTTTTTGTAGCTGAAGTGAACATAAGTAGCCGATTCAGATTATTCTACTGTCATAATTTTGATTTAAGTGTAAACAAAAAAAACTGTATTGGTTAGTTTGGACTAAACGTATGAAAGAATAGTTATATTCAGTTTGTATAAATACATACTACTGTTAAATGTTTTCAAGGTTAATTTACAAGATTACGAAGGAAACACGGTAGACCTCCGAAGCGAATATACATAATCCGAAAGGGAGAGAAGCTACAATCAGAAGAATTCCCGCCCCTCGCTCTGAACAAGTTAATACAATAATCGTCAATTGCCCACAACCCTTTTTTTAATATAACCCACAACAATAACCCTAAATAACTTGACCTAATTATATAAACGCTTAACAGAAAAAGGCTCTCTTGGTAAAAAAAAATTAAAAACTACCTTGAATATTTAGTTACAAAGTATTTTTACTGGAAATCCCTCTAAAAAGAATTCTCTAATTTATTATTTCATCACCCTTTTAACAAAGTAGTTTTGGAGGTTTCTTAAATTAATGTATTACTTGAAAACAGTTTTGATCAGGTAATCTAGAGTTATTTTATTTCATATAATATCGATTTGTACGTTCAAAAATTGTTATCATTGGATTATGACTCATTTTGTTCTCATAAGAGGTCAAACTAAATGACAAACCTTGATTTAATCGACTGATTAAGGTCAATCCCCAATCGTTATCAAACTAATTGCCAAGGTTACTTGAAAACTCTAAAGATTAAACTATTTAGGAGCTTAAATGCTTAGTGTTTGTACTTATGAAAGAAGATTTGTACTCATTAAAATTTATAAGCCATACATCCTAAAGTTTGTTCTATTTTAATTTATCATTCAATATTATTCAAAAGCGTAAGTTTAGTGAAGTAGTATTAACTTCAGTACTCAAGAATATACAATAATATTCTTGTAAAAAGACCTACACCCTCTTCCTAGACTTCATACTCAGTTAGTGTCCAGTTGTTTGATTTAATTTTGGAAAAAGATAATTTATTCCCAATATGGAAAATTCGCTAAAAATCCATTCTTAGAGCATACCCTCTCTTAGTATAGAAAAACGTGGTATATTCTCACTACAAGTCCTGATACAGACCCATTTCAGAGTGATACAAATCTGAGCACGGAAACAACTACTTAGCCGGTGAAATGGGTCACTTCCAGGACGAGTAATGAACAAAACTTTTCATGAAGATGCAAATAATCATCAAGGGGAACTTGAGTTTCTTTTGGACTGAAAAAGTTTGTTTGAAACAAGCAAAATATTGTTTGAATTTTTAGATTGTAAAAGAATATAATAATATAAAAGATTGTAAATCTATTATATCTGTGAAATATATTGAATTTTCATAAAGCTCAGCAAATACAGAGTGAAGAAAAAACGTTATATGAATTGAGTAATTAGGTTTGCCACTATATTGATTTTGGTTGGTTTATCCTAAATTTATTTTTGAGATGCTAACATCCTTCCCATAGTTGAAAAGAATGTCCAAGAATGTCTTCAATTCTTAGAATTTGTACAAAACATATCATGCCTAGGAAAACATACACACACATAACCATCTAAACAGTAAGGTTGGCTTCTGAGAGAAAAAAAAAACATTGGTCTCGCTCTTAGATCTTACTATAATAACCATACATCTGTAGTCGCTTCCCGTATAAGTTTGATAAAATAAGAAGTTCATGAAGATCTAAAGGAGTCATTCACTATAGTGTCATGTACAGACTAATAACATTTTACTGGTAACTTTTTTATAACTCAAGCAAAAAAGTTCATTGAAATTAATTACATTTTATCCACATTAAAATACATTCCACCATCTGTCAGATGGCAAACATTAACGTTTTGCTAGCCACAAATTATCAATGGACAGTATACTTTTATCAGTGGATAAAATTATAGTATCAGAGTTGAACGACGTTTCAGCTTAATACAAGATATGAGCCGTACGTCATTCACACACTCTTTAGACACTTGTTCAACCCATGGATGAAAATAGACTGTGGTAATTGGTTATTTTTACTTTACCCGCTGCCATTGACTCTTGACATTACAGTTTGCCACTCATCAAGTTCTGATGGCTCTACAAGCTCTACAAGAATTGCCCGAAGATGAATTCAAATTGTTTCTTGATTCTATTGATACCATCATAACTGATTGTGATTGTAAGTAATGTTTCTTTAATTTTAAAGGTAAAAACTTGTGTAACAACCTTTAACGATTAAGTCTAAGAATATTTGCTGACAAAAGTATAATATAGTAGTAATGTAATTTGATAAATAACAAGGCAAATTATTATTGAAGAAATATACGTAAAATAACATGTATTGAATAGAGTCAAATAGGCTATAAATACATATAACTACATATTACAAAGTGCTTAAAGTATATTTGTTTGCCCAGAGTAATTATTGTTTGCCCAGAGTAATTATTGTTTGCCCAGATAGAGATAAGGCTTGCAATGATAATAACCAGGGTAAAAAACGCATTAAAATGCAATGGACTTACCACCACAGGCAGAAAATATAGGTAACTCTGTTTTTGTAGTATTAATTTTTTATGGTTTATTTGAAACAAGAGATCTGTGCTACATCCCGTTGGGGAGCAAGCTGGTTTAGTTGTAGAGCTCTGAGCTTCAGAGCCCGAGGTCCCGGGTTCAAATTCCGCCAATCACCAATGGATTTTATCCATGTGACAATGCCGCATCCCTCTTAGCCTGAAGTAATGTGTTAAGCAGTTCTGTGCTAGAACTAGTAGTGTTCTAGGATGTGATGGCAGGACATAGAAAAAAAACAAAACACTATAAACTAACTTTGCCCAGTTACCGATGTCCAGTTCAGTTACTAACTTGACGTCTGGACCCTCAGCTAAAGCTGATTTGACTTTTCTTCGCTCTCTTCCTCGAGCAGCTGTTTCAGTGGTGCTGGGAGTCACATAATAGAACCCCTCTGTACTTAATTACTATTTTTCGACACAGAATGTTGATTAGTTTGATCACAATCAAAAAGTTTGTAATAAAAGAAGAAAAATTATACCAAATTAGTACTGCATGAGACTCAAAATGAAGGGCTCTCTAGCTTTCAATGTTCCTGTAGTTCTTAAAAATATTCATTCATATAAGGACGAATTTAATTGAATTTTTTTATGTTTTTATAGAAAAAGAAAACAAGTACTAGCTAATAACATGGAGGGGAAGAATTTTCACATGTCTAAGGGGAAATATAAACACAGCCCTGAAACATGTTTTAAGAGTCAGAGACCCTCATATCTTTTGTTTTATTCTCATACATCACAATAATTTTTGGCAGTTAAAGAGTTTTTCTGCAGATCTTTTGCGGGAAAACACTTATTTCGCCTTGAAATTGTGTTAAAAAGATTTTCCTTCAGAACATTGTCTACAGGTGTTTTATGGTTGGATGACGTAGGACTACCGGGATCTGCGGATGTGATCAATCAGCTCAAACAGTTAGGCAAAAACATCTTCTATATGACAAACAACAGCACCAAGACTAGAGACCAATTTGTGGAGAAATGCCAACAATTGGGTTTCAACGCTAACAAGGTAAATCGGGGATTACCTGTCATATCCACAAGGTGAGGAATTTTTTAATCTTTTATTTGTGAGCTATTTTGTCGTTATTACAAGGTAAGTGGTTATTTTTGTATTGAATTCTAAGACTCAAAAGGTACACATCATACTCATAGTACTTACAGTGGACTCCCTCTTATCCGGACTCCTTGAGAACGAGGCCAGCCCGGATAACGGTTTTTCCGATTAAACCGACGTCCCCAAAAACTCGTCAAAACGAGTTTACTGTGATCTTCGACTTAAAGTTAGGAGATCATTGTATTTAGACTTGTGATCACTGGTCTCAAATCTTCCCCACAAGAACAGTCGTTTAAGTACCGCCCACTTCCTGCCGATCTAGTCCGGTCAAACCAATGTGCTGATAAAAATTGTCCAGCTAAAGAGATGTCATTTTCACCGAGTGTAGTCCAGTTAAAACGATGTCTGGTTAAAAGGTGTCCGGATAAAAGGGAGGCTACTGTATTGAGTTACTGTACGTTGCTTACTGTTCTTTCATACATGCAAGATAATAGTGATTCGCTTCATGAACAACCTTTAATTTGTCAATTTTCATACAACATTTGCATTTCTCTCTTGGATGGATTATTTATTAGTTGAAATTATGGTGTTGTAGGCTTATGTTGTTCAAACCTAAAGTAGGTAGGTTAATTTTTTGACTCCTGTCTGCATTCTAACATTTATATTCCAGATAAATATCTGTTGCATAATTTTATACACCCTTAAAATCTCATAAAATTATATTTCAGGAGGAGATAATTAGTACAGCTTACTTATCAGCACTGTACCTTCATCAGCTGGACTTTAAACAGAAAGTTTACATTGTTGGACCTCCAGCGATAACAGAGGAACTAGAAACTTTTGGAATAGAGAGTTTTGGACATGGGGTGAGTGGAAAATGTTTGTCTCACCTAAAGTGAACCAATTGCTAAATTTGTAACTATGAGAAGGACAGTCAACTTCTTATAGGGCACTCTCCTTTATTTTCTGTGATGGTTTTGAATTTCAAAAATATGACTGCCACTTTCCAATATGGCCAACAGCATAATTATATTTTATGATTTGTTTTAGAATGTAAATACAATTTAAACACATTTTTATTCATGACATTTTTCCTCTAAAGCTACTCTTTTAGGAGTTACACCTAAATCTAGGTGGAATTGTCTCCTGAAGTCAAAAAATTGTTTAAAATTGGTTTAGGAATAATGTTGTTAAACAATCAATATGTAAACAGATTAACGTAAGCAATAAAGCGTTTAAGATTTATCTTATTTGCCATTGTATTTAACCCTGAGTGACCGAATCCATTTTTTCATGTCCTCTATGAGTGGAAAATCATATAGGTTGGTCGTACGTTTTGGAAGTAGAATATCAGCTCCTGACCAAAACTAAACAACAAAAAGTTTCAAATTATATTAAAAATATTTATGCAAGAAAATGTTTCCTTATTATTAATCATTTTATCATTTTGGTACTTTGGAATCAGCATATAATTCTTGCGTAACACCAATAGCTTTCTTTTGGCTATGTGATAGTACTTTGGACTGGCGGTTCTTGTCCCACCCTGAACTGTGTAAGTTCTATCAGAAAATGAGAAATTTCTTTGTGTTGGAAAACTCTGAATTGTATTCCTAGTTTGATTTTGTTGTGTGTTGTAGCTTCAATTTTTTTTCAGCCTGATTTAATGGTAAGTGATGTCAGAACATTTAAAAATTCCATGAAATTGGAGAAAAATGTCGCAGCTGTGATAGTGGGTTATGACGAACATATATCTTACCCTAAAGTTTCAAAAGCTTTTGCGTACCTTCAGGATGAAAACTGCTTGTTTATTGCCACTAACAATGATCCTACAAAAAAGACAAAAAACCCAAAACTGAAATTACCAGGTTAGTTTCTGCTTCTAACATGTAATTTGTTTGAGGTTAACAGATATATTTCAAACACTTAAACCTTTTAATGTTAAATACTATAAATAAGACATAATTTGAAATTAGGAGGGGTTTTTAGTAGAATCTTGTAAACTTATTCATTACATTGGGAGAGACACTTAAATACTTTATGATCCCATAAATACTTATCCATATTACCTTGGATTTGTGATGGCTCAAATCTTGAAAAAATTCAACCTAGATAGAGATGGTTTAGTTTAATATTAATAACAAGTCTGATTATTTGACCACTGCTTCAGTCTTGCTAAAGGTAATTTAAATGTTGATATCATTACATTTTTGTAAGCTTTACGAGATCCAAGTCAAATCAGTTGTTTATATTTCCATTAAACACAATTTATTTGCAATGAGTATATATTTACTGACATGAACATTTAATTTAGTTTTGAACGTTCTGCATTTTAAGTTTTAGCTAGTCTTAAAAAATACATTTACTATTTAAAAAGGTTTTACGTAAAATCAACAAAATGGGCTTATTGTATTGTATTTGACAGTATAATAATTTTGTTTTGATAATTGCACAGTCAATGAGTTTATAGATTAATGCAGAAATATGTGATACCTCTGATAGTAAAAGCAGGGAGTTTACAATAGAATGGGAATCAGATTATCATGAGCAATTTTAGATTTTAAATTGGATAAAAAGTTGGCTTTAACTATGTAGAGTCATAGACAAAAATAGCTCAAGTCCTCATCATCAGATCTTGTACAAGAAACACATCTATCACTTCGAAAAGGTCGTCAAAAGTTTAAATACACAACATGGATACGTTGTGTTGTGTATTTAAACTTTTGACGACCTTTTCGAAGTGATAGATCTGTTTCTTGTACAAGATCTGATGATGAGGACTTAAGCTCCTCGAAACGCGTAATCCGTAAGGACCAACAGGACCACTCTGGCAGTACTCAGGTAATTTTATACCTTTTATAGTTTGTTCTGTGATCCAGAGACAAAAACAACTCAAAATATGAAGACAAAAATAGAATAAATAAATATAGACCAACAGCAGTGCTGCGGTTAGCATAACCTCTGGTGTCCACCACTAGGAGTGCAGTGTAGTTACGGCACACACTGCTGAAGCTTCTGCTGGTAGTATAGGTACGGCGAGGAGCTGACGACAGTGGTGAGTACGTTCTAGCCGCACATCGCGAAACCTTCCTTTGACAATCTATATTTATTCAATTTGGCTATGTAGAATTCCATTGCTCTCAGCTGACTATTGACATGTTCCAGGTGCAGGATGTATGGTGGAATTGTTGAGAACAAGCACAATGAGAGAGCCCACCTACATGGGGAAGCCTGATGTATATATGCAGAAAACCATCCTTAGCAACCCCAAAATAAATCCCCACAGGACTCTTATGATCGGAGATAAGTATGTTTGCATTATTTTTGTGAATCTATTTGCTCATGAATCACATTTGAAAATGTACTGTCAGGATTTATTTATTTTCATTTTATGTCAAACATTAAACCGCTTAAGTAATTGTTATGTGAAGTGTACACTGCTTTCAGGTTAAAATGTACAGAATTGTATCCCTGCTTTAACTATGGAAATAGGTTCTTATTTCAATGTAATGGAGTATCATAAATACACCAGTTACAGTCATGGTTTGGTTTTAAATTTTCCAGAGTGGTACTACCGTTTTCATGCATTCCTGACCGCTATAACACGGACCAGTAATGCCAAAAGCTAACTAACTAATTTATTTAAAAAATGCAGTACGTTAAATAATGCATGTTGTTATCAACAGGCCCAGTACTGATATTCTACTGGGGAAGAGGTGTGGGTTCAGGACCTTGATGGTCCTCACAGGATCCACAACCTTACAGCAAGTTCAGAGGTGGAAAGAGACTTCAGATCCTAACACACAACATATGATTCCTGACTTTTACATTCCTTCATTGGGTGAACTCCTGCCTCGGCTATGAACATTTCCGACTAAGAAGAACACAGTATTGTAGAACAACATGATTAAAGATATAATTTTGTAAAATACAAAACAAATCATTTTTACCTTTGTAATTAACTCATAGTTATCAATCAGTTTGCTAAAAGTGTCATGTTTAGCTGCTAGTTTGGAGGAAATATTTACAGAATTCAAAATCACATTTTAGTCTAAGATGGTTTGGAGATGAGAAAAGGATACAAGTAGAGACTTGAGAAGAAAAATAGAAGGCGGGTATATAAGATGATGATGGATGTGGAGAAGAGAAGATCAAGGTGGCAAATGGTGGAGGGATAGAAGAAAGACGAATCTAGTTGATTACCGGATCCAATAGTATCAGGTCCAAAGGGTGTGTATGCGTTTTAGCCAAATCATTTTTAACAATGATTGAGGAAGGATACAATTTTTTCTAAGTACTATTATTTAACATAAAGGTGGGACGGTTTATAAAAATGAAATATACGGATTCATTTTGGTTTTAAAATAACATTTATAAAATGTATACATCTGAATAAAACTGTTATTTAAAGCTATCTTGTAAACAAAATTCATTAAATGAATTTTACTTTGTAACATTTTTGCTAACACCACTGTCAATGGTTACTTCCATATTACAATCAGAGTTTGTTTGAATACTAACATCGCCTACAGGGTAATCAGAGTTATTTTTTAATACAATACATTCTTCTGTTTTGCTTTCAAGAGGAACAAAACCATTCTTATTGAACAAATCACTATCACAATCAGATATTACATCAATACTAACATTCTCTACTAGATAGAGAGTTTTGTCCTTAAGAGATGGTGAGATTTGTTTATTTTTCTGACAATTATCTTCAACGACGTCCAATTCATCGCTGTCACTGACTAACATATTTTCTAAGATTACTTCCTGATCACTTTCAGCAACTGCATCTTTTCCTCCCAATATTATTTCTTTGTGCATATCATCTGGCAGTGTTATATCTGCTAGCTCCGCTGCCATGCACTTCCTTGGTTGGCCTTTGTCCTTTCTCTCTCTTTGTACCTTCCTTGCTTTCTTTGCTTTTTTTATACTGTGCAGCTTGACATGATGAAATAGTGAGCGCTGAAACATCAAATGTAAAATGATTTAAGTTCATTACCGTTGTAAACAGTATATCATGAAACAGATTTTAAACGGTAGGGCCATTTTATAGGGGCATTGCAGAGGCTTATGTTTTTAGCCAGAGTATGATTGCATGGAGTAGCCAACCTCTGCCAACCTCTTTTATAAAGAAAACAAAAAAAAAAGAAAACAAATGCTAACGAGCCAAATTAAGTCCAAACCAAAACCCTTATAAAAACAAGAAATAAATACCGTAATATTGAAGGTAAATAAATATAGCCTATTACAAAAAAAAAAGAAAAGAAAATTGTATTACAACTAAAGGTTTGCCAGCCTGAGATTTTAAATCAAGCCAAACTTGAGGTAATATTGTCAATTTGGGATCATCTCCCACTGTCATGAATACATCATCGTCCCCCATGGTCACTGAAAAAACTTGATTATCCCCTGCAAGAACGGAACATTCTGCTGTAAGAATGTTTTGACTTTGACTTTGAATATCATCATCGTCATCGGCAATCACGACAAAATCATGAACATCTCCTGCTTTCACGTAGACATAATCGTCGTCTCCCATGATCTCGGAAAAATTCTGATCATCCCCCGCGCTCATGTACGATGAATCACCATCGTTTAGCGGTCACAGAAACGTTACGGTCGTCTTGCGCGATCGCGACAATAACGGAGATTTAATTTTCTGATTGTGCGATTTTTGCAGACGAGTCGGGAATTGGAATCAAAATAGTGGTACTGTAATTCTATAGGTTTTTCTGATGCATGGGGACCAAATCGATGCATTGGTATTCGATGCATGCTGAATCGAATTGTGATTTGATGCATAAAAACCAAATTAGAAATTTCAATGCGTTTTCGATGCATCGCATACCATTACATTCAATTCAACAATTGAATGTATTGTATCTAGCGAGATGGTAAATTTGAAGGAATTGGGCAACTATGCAAACTTTTCTTTAACATTCTGAAATTATGTAAATTCCTTAAAAAAAAAAATACATTTCCCAATTCATTTTTCTTCTTAAATTTTTACAATTTTAACTTCCATAAAAAAATAATTTAAATTTAAAGATCAACATAAAAATAATTTCGAGTATTAAATGGTACATTGAATAGAAAATGTAAAATTGTATTATTAAAAAGCCACTACCAGTACGTCTATTCCTACCAAATTCTGATAATGTGACCGAACATAAAATATTTACTAAAATGTGAAAAACTGGTATAAACATCATTACCTTCCACTTGAAGACTTTCTCACAGCCCTCGACGGAGCATTTATACTCGTGAGACTCCTCGTGAACAGTTTTCAAATGTTGTTTCAAGTATCTCTCCTGACTGAAGACAGACTCACAGTTTTCATGAGGACAATTCAGAGATTCTGATTCCATGTGAGTAATGTAATGGAGCTTACAGTTGCTTAACGTTTTAAATTTTTTATTACATACAGCACAAGAGTAATCTGAAAAATGAAAAAAATGTCAACACAGGTCAACTAAAAGCCAGGTAGCTATAAACATAATGCTTAAGCACATATTTTTTTCTTCAAGTTTTACTCCTATGTGGTGTTCTAAGAAAAAGTTGAATTACAGTACTCTTCTTGAGTCTGGAATAATTAGACTTTGGAGCTCTCATTGGTTGTAAAAAATCATCAAACAGTGAGTAGGCCTACAAAAATATATGGTCTAAAGATCTAAGTTTTCTTCCAGATCTTCCATCTGTTAGGGAACACTTTTTCTAACATCATAATTTGTTAGATGATCTCGAATCTATTTTATTATTTATTTACATTTCAGAGCAGTAGCAGACAGAGATAACAAAGTTTATAGTCAACATATTTTTTTACTTTGGGCAATGGTAAATAAAAATTTGTGACGTTGTAAGAATGGGCATTGTGAAAAGCTAGAGGATTAATACAATGTGACAGGGGGAGTGACCTGGTCTAGTGGTTAGAGCGCGGGACTTCAGTTCCAGAGGTCCCGGGTTCAAATCCTGTCAAATCACCAATTCAATTTTTATCCATCCATGTGATAATGCCGCAATCCCTAGGTCTAACCTTAAGTAATGTGAAAAACAATTCCGGGCTCGTGCCTAGCGTCCTAGGACAAGAAAAAAAAAAAACAATGTGACAGCTTACCTGATTTATGCTCTGTAGCCATGTGTTTTCTGTACAAGGACATCGAAGGAAATGTGGTTGAACAGTTTTGCAATCTACAAGTATAAGTTCTGTGACTTCTCTGGTGCCTTTTTAAGTGATAGCTCTTTTCAAAGCCTTTTTTACACTCCTCGCAACTAGAAAAGGCATAAAACACAAATAATTAAAGTGTATTTTTAGTTGAAAAATATATTTTTGGAAAAAATCAAGTGATAGAGGGAGTAGTGATATTTAGAGATGGTCATCTCAATGAAAACCATCATATTAGGTAGGCCTGTGTTCTTAGTTCAAAGTTAATCACCGTGCAAATATGGTTAGGATTTTAAACCACCTTCTAAAATATGAATAAATTTGCAATAACTGAGTAAATTCTAGAGATTAAACACTATATTATGTAATAAATAAACATGAGTGTTTTTATACCCAAAGATTCTGAATCAACCACTAGGTAACGTATTTTCACGATACTGTATTTCTTACAAAAGATAATTTAGTAACGAAGGGTCTGCCAAAGCCAAAATTTTAAAATTGGGTTAAATTTAACTTTAAGGTCCAGAAGCTGATGCTGATATTTTCAATGAATCTTTGGTATGATAAGTTTAGTAAACAGCTTCAAAAACATTCAGCATATGTGACCTTCAGCATTTGGATTGAAAATGTGGCATACTTTGTGTATTGCCATTGCAACGTCTATTTGTCCAATAAGAGGATGACCGATGATTTATATTAATATAATAAAAGACTAGCTGTTTTACTTTAATTTTAAAATACTAAAATAGTCTAGCTGCCGACTCGATCACTTTTAATTTTTTTGTTTAGAGCAATATAATTTGTGTAAAGAAGTAGCCTAAGTAAAGATTATGAATGTTTATTTATACTCTATGTACACTCATCCCTCCTGCACATGGATGTAAAGTTAGGTTTTCCTAGTCACGGAAGCGGAGAGAGAGGAACTTTTCTCTTGTTTTAAGTAACTTAATGGTGCTGTGTTTCTTGAAGCGTAGTAGACTTCCACTAATTTGAGTTTTGAAAAAAACTAAAGGCGTTTATTAAATCATTTCAATTAGGTAAATTACTTAACAAATTTGTATTGTTGTTTTCAACATTCTATTTAAGGTCTAATTTTATTTTATTTTTGATAGGACAACATTTATGATATAGGCTCCTATCTATAGTTTTAACTCTGAATTTTCATCCTGTGGTGAATGGATACGACCTAGTATAGGCTAGATTAAAAAAAATATTTTGCTCCTACTAACACTTTTGTTTACACAAAGTTATTCATACTCACTCTTAGTTACTTTGCACATATTACTGCTGAGGCAAGTTAGGCCCCTCTTATGGATCTGCAATCGTTACCCTGCATCACATCAGTGTGCGATGTAAATGTCCTAACCTAATTGCTGCATTTGGATTATTATCCGTTTGTAGTCTGTAGTTTACTTACACATAAGGGTACACGCCCGTGTGGACGAACGAATGCTCTTTCAAATTATGGTTCCTTTTGAATTTAGCATCACACTCTGTGCATTGGTAAGGAAAATCTGTATGCCTACGCTTGATGTGTTTCTTTAGGCACTGCCTTGTCTTCAACACCACTTCACAACCTTTCTCTGGACAGCTGCAAAAATTTAGTTCTTAAAATAACTATCTTATATTTAAAATAACTCTTGAGACTTTCATTAGTTATACAATACAGTAACTGAACTATGTTATTATTATAATCATAATCAAATTTGACTGGTTTAGCGTTAAATGAGGTCTCAACTCCTGACTAGTAGTTTTTGGCTATGAGAATATTCCTTGATTGCTGTGACTATGCAATTTAATGTTGATGTTTGATCAAAAGATGGCTAGCTAACAGATAGTCCATATAGATTGGTATGAATAAAATGCAAAGTTTCATTGGAGACAATTTTGGCTGCGGAATAGTGAAAGTTGGGCTAGTCGTTTAGGCACTTAGTTTTCTTTGCTGAATTCGGTCGATAGGTAAATGCCTTTACTTGGCCCTTATGTGTTCAGTTGGTGCTACAAAAAAAAAAAAAAAAAAAAAAAACGCAGCCGTATTTGTCAGCCAAATTGGGCAGCTGGGAAAACTTGCCTTTTAATAAGTCAATGTATACACTTCTGGGGACAGCAAATATAAAAAAAACACCAGCAAGCAACTTCCCTAAGAATCATATGATAACACAGCATCAGAATGATTTGCCCCATACAACCTTAGAAGCAATTTTTTTTAAGCTTAGACCTCTCAAAGACCAAAAATTTTTTTTGCCCAAAAGCAATTTACCAAAATATTTTCAAGGAGAAAGGTTAGTTCAGATTCCAGCGGTAACTTAAAATTAGTGTCTGTGGCTTAATTAATTGACTTAATTACCTATTTAACCAAGAAGGTTTCTGTTATTTTTACCAGGACTCAAAAGAGCTATTTATAACTTACACAAACAGTTGATCATTTTGGTGCTTTTCATGAGTAACCTTTATGTGCCTCTTCAAATGAGAAGAGTTAGTGTAGCGTTTATCACAACCATCAAAACTGCATACAAACGGACTCTGAAAAAAAAAAGAACACTTGCTTAGAAGTAAATCCATTTAGGCCTAATAGCCTAGTTAAATCCATTCAAACAGAGTAAGTAGTTAATAAATAACCCTGCTGTGGCAAACCTGCCGACTAAGCAAATTTCCATTAACCTGAGTTGATTTTAAATTAAATCTGTTTAAATAACATTAGGTTTAACGAGTACCTAGGTTTGTTACAAGGAAACTGATAGTGTTTTTTTTTGTTAAATATGAATAAGTTTAGCTTGGTATAAAATAAATGAATTTGCCAGGTTTGATCAAAATATAACTTATCCATAAACAAACAAACGTAGAGTCCCGAAAACTCGGCACTCGATAACCAGGCAGTCTGGATAACTCGGCCATCACCTGGCTCAGAAAATTAGTGTTTTTTTTAGTCCAAGTTAATCATGGACTCAAGCCAGCTTAATTAAAATTGTTCATAACTGGTACTAAGGATTTGTTGTACTATATCTGATGACTTAATACTGACTTAGTGATGTAAAATACCCGGGTATTTAAAACTCGGGGTAAATACCCTGGGTATTTACCCGGGTAAATACCCTGGGTATTTACCCGGGTAAATACCCAAAATCGATAAATACCCGGGTATTTTGGGTATTTATGAAATCAATTGAAATTCATTTATATTTACCTCTAAATATGTTATTGTTATCATTACATTATAAATTAGGATAGTCTATAACACCTTTACATCAACTTGAAGCTTTGCTAGTACCTTTTATTTAATGATTTAGCACTTTTTTTTAATAATACCTACATAAAGTTTCTAAATAAGCATGGGGTTTCGTGTCTTAAATCGAGTATCATCAGTTAAATTTAACTAACTAAAAAATATTATATTAAAAAAGGCTGTGGCTATTTCAATATTTATCATTTTATAAATTTATAACCAATTGTTGGTTATTTATTTATGATGCAATAAAAACAGTTGAACTTGCCATGAATAGTTTTATTAGCAATAATAATTGTTTATAACATTTTAGAATACTCCAAATTCCTAAGGCCTGATTGACATAGGCAGAATGCAGAATACTAAAAGTACCGTAAATAAACTTGTCTGTGTTACCGCTTAGTTAGAAACAATAATACTATATTTGGATATATATTGACTGGGACGGGTGGCGCCGTCCTGTAATCCAGCTACTAGGAGGTCACGAATTGTGGATATTTATAGGCATGCATTATGGATGCGATACTCCCTGGTGTGGATTAACGTCCGCACGGGTGAGTACTACGACTATCCGCAGTACTATCCTGATAATTAGACCAATTCGTAATTACCAAGGCAAAAATGTGGTTCGGATTCCACTATAAACTGTAGGTCCCTTAGTTGCCATTAGCTGTATGGGCTATTAATTAACAGCTGTGTCTAAGGAATGTCGGCCTTAGTCACTAACAAGACTACAAGATCGCGCCACTCATCCTACACTCATCTCCATTCATACTTGGCTTAAAATACCTACTTTGTATGGTCGCCATTTCATAGAACAGTATTAACAGTATAAACCTAATAAAAAAAAAATGTATCTCCTGTTATTTGGTCTAACTTAATATAATTTTGAAAGATTTATTGTGCTATAGATGAAATATTTTGTATCACAAGTTTATGAAATAAGTTTTTTTTTTTTGATACAAACAAAAGATCTAGAACAAAAATATTATTAAATCCTGCCATCCTACTGATTGAATTTTAATTACTTTCTTAAGTTGTTTATACATAGGCCACTACTAGGTTAAATTTTCCTGTCTTTCTAAATAATAATTATTACTTTACAAATTATTTTTCTTCACTTTCAATAAAATAAATTCATCCATCTATCATAGAAATAAAAAAAAAATCATAAGTAGTCAGGACCAGTGCAACCATGCGACCAGGGTATTTATGCCGATTATGCTTAATGCTGAGACCTGGGTATTTATGGCGATTATACCCAGAAGTAAAATGCTAGTAGTGACCATATGAAATTTTGTTTAACACATTTTATCATCATTCTACTATCCTTACAGGGTAATAATTGCAAAAAATCTCTCAATCTTCTCTATCTTGCATAAAAATTATAAATACCCAGTTTTTAGGTATTTACCCGGGCCTGGGGTAAATACCCAGGTAAATACCCAATTTATATTTACCTACCCACTGGGTATTTACCCGACCCACATCACTATACTGACTTGTAATATAAATATAAATAAAAAAGGCCGTTGTAAAGCTTAAAAACTCTATTGTTCTTATTTTTAACCCTAGTTCCCAATAACCTGGCAAACTCGGCACCCTTCCAGTCCACATTACACCGAGTTTGCGGGACTCTACTGTATAACATTTTACAATATTCTCCATAAGAATAAAATGGGAATTTTAAATTTACAATAGGCTAATTTGAATTTTCTCTGTTATCAATAACTGTACAAAAACACGTTGATATGATGAATTATTTGTTTTTTAAGCTCTTTAAAAAGGTCAAAAGAGAAATTGGGAAGTTTTGTGTTTGAGAGTCAAAAATGAGAAAAACCATTTTTTACTGATCATGCTGGTTCGAGAACTCATTTAAGTTCATCCTCCCTTACACCTTCAAACCAAATTTCATCAAAATCGGACAAAAATTACTCAAATTATCGCATTTACGGACGTAATGTATATGTATATATTATAAATCTGAACGAACGGTATTTTTGGCCTCTAGGGACATCGAAATGAAAAAGTAAATCGGTCCCGGGCCTAGGTCTTACCGTGCCACCTACGGTAATAGCTAAGTTACTTCCCTATAGGGCAATTCACTAAAAATGCATTTAACACTACATACCTTTCCTTCGTGAACACACAAGTGAGCTTTTAATTTTGAAGGTCGGTAAAATGTCCTCTTGCAGCCCTCATAAAAACATTTATGCTTAAATCTTTCTAAGATTTGTTTCCTTCTCTGAAGATGGTCTTCAAAATCTGAAAAAAATTATGTATTATTAACTTAAAAGAGAAATAAAAATAGACAAGTTTGGAATAGGTTTTTTTCTAGAATACTACTGTTATTAGATATAATATGTTTACCTATGGAGCTCTGATTACCCTACTGGTTGGGCCACAGCAGCAGCAAGATTGGTACCTAAATGTAAAAATAGGCTAATGTATGATATTTTCCAGATAATTTTGTATATCATTATTCCACTCTAAGCAACAGGAATGACAACAGGGGTTATTTATCCATATTGGTGGTTTACAACTAAAGTATGTCTTATATTTAGCCTAAAAAAACGGACGGATAAGTCCTCGCAGCCTACAATTACAGTACATAGGCCTACTTTACTCAGATCTAATTTGTAAATAAATACCGGTAGCTTAGGCCTGCTTGAACTTACCAGAAGTTGTATGACATACACTGAGGTCACTGTCGGACTCTGATGTATCTCTGCCCATTGTGAAACCTGAAAATTAAAATATAAACAACGTTAACATTATAGTTCAAATAACTTACACATTCACATACCTACACACATTTTCTCATCCAACACATTCACAACTGGCTGGCATGGGACTATAGCCTACAGATTGTGATGAGTTAGATGAAACTTATTTTTTACAGGGTTTTCTTTACGTTCTTTAAGTTATTTAATACTAGCAAACCCGTCGTGGCTTCGCTCACGAAAATTTAAATTAAAAAGTAAAATGTTCAACCTGAGTAGGGCATACACTTCTTGGTTTTTCAATTTTGTAACTAAACATTGTAGTTCCAAAAGTCTGATAGCCTATTGGATCCCTTAAAACTCTCTGGGTTGGAGCCCTTTTGACGGAACTGCACCAAACTTCACACAAACCATCCTTGAATAATGCCTGAAAGTTTCATTATCATCTGTATGGACAATATAGCCCAGTACATTGTAATACCACAGGCTTGCCACCCGTCCCAATTCTGTTGGAACAGTCCTGACTTTGGTCCCTTGTGCCCGCGTTTATGCCTTGGTTCATCTGGGTTGGGGGGGGGGGTCACATTATAATTTTTATCTTTGAATCTAGGTGGCAGCCCTGGATACACCTGAGAGTGTCATCACTTGATTGCAAAAAGTAGTTTAGTAGCCTACACTAAATAACAGCTAGAGAAAAATAATTGGGATACTACAATGCAAAATAGGTTGACTACAAGTTTGCCTGTCATTCACCATTCAGTGTGTTGGGCTTTGTGAAACATTTACAGACTCAATCAAGCTACTTATACTTGAATACTTGTTGTCTTAATCTTTGACCGAAGTATATCGGATAGAATGCGTCGTTATACTAATATTTACAAAATTATTATATACAAAACTTGTTTTACAAAGTATCATAAAACTTTAAAACTTAAAACTTGAAACTTAGGCTGTGGTAAGCGTGTCTATTTCTCAACCTGGCATCAAAGGATCATTTGACAACTCGTCAAGACTATACAGGGGCCTATTTGTGAGCAAGTTCTTCAGCTCGGACTTAAACGCTGTACCGTCAAGGTTCCTTAGGTGGTTTGGAAGGGAGTTGTAGATTTTGATAGCCGATCGGGGGTATCTCCTTAAGGTATGGCTCAAGCGGCAGCGAGGCATATCCAGGTCATGGGCCCTTCTTATTCCATACTCATGCCTATCACCTCGGGTCACAAAATCACTTAGGTTTTCCTTTAGCAAGACCAGACTATTAAGTACGTACTGGCTCACCACTGTGAGGATTCCCAATTCTTTGAAGATGGGTCGGCAATGTTCTCTTGGGCCTTTAGATGTTATCACCCTCACAGCTTTTTTTTGTAGCAGAAGTATTTCATGGCATGCAGGGGAGTGTCCCCAGAGCACTATTCCGTACATCAAATGGCTATGAAATAAGGCATGGTATATGGTTACCAGATGATTGGTTACCAGAGAGTGATTTCATCTCGGAGTTTCCTTAGCAGATAGAGAACTCTGGATAACCTAACGCATACCTTATCAATGTGGTTAGACCAGTTTAGCCTAGATTCCAGCCAAAACCCAAGCAACTTCACAGCTTCCTCATGATCAGTCCTCGACTTGAGGGTGCACATCAAAGATTGAGTCTTTTCTTCATTTATTTTGAAGCGATTAGCAACAAACCAGGACTTAGCCTCAACAAACAACTCGTCCGCTGTATCCCTCAACAGGTTAATGTCTTTCCCTCTAGTCACCAGGGTGGTGTCGTCTGCAAAGAGGAGGGTGCAGCCGTTTAGCCAAAGGTCGTTTATCATGATGCTAAACAGTAGAGGGCCTAACACCGAACCTTGAGGAACGCCATGGGGAACAACCTGGACATTTGAGGACACTCCGTTCACTGATACAAATTGCCTACGATTTTCTAAATAATTAACTAAATAAATAAAAAAGCAGCTGCACTTTACTTGACGTCCTACACTCATTCGAATGAAAATATCGATTAATCGATTGCTTCATTCGATATGTCGTTTGGTTAGTTAGTTAGGTAAGGTTAACCTAACCTAACTAACCAAACGATATATCGATTAAAACAATCGAATGAAAATATCGAATCGAAAAAACAATCGAATGAGTGTAGGACGTCAAGTAAAGTGCAGCCAAAAAAGCTAACCTACAGAGGGCTAACTTAATTTAAATACTTTTGTGTACATTAGTACACAATTAATTATATCCAAAAAATTTAAATAATTTGAGCCCATGTTGTTTCCGTTCATCTTAAGTAGGCCTATAGAAACCTGCTCTTTTAAAGTAACCGATAACCTCTCTGTTACAACTATTCAGTATAGTCAGGCTAACATTAAAGGCCTATTATTAGTCATATTGTCACAAAGAGCTTTCAGCGAAAGTGAGGTTAGGCTATAGGAACTAAATTAGTTACAATATAGCCAAGTAAACATGCACTTTTTTTAAAATAAATCTGCGAATAGTAAGCTCTGAGATTTAACTATCGATGTCCAGATAGATAGTTTTTGTCCCTTAAACAATTTATCTGGATTCTTAATAGTAAATTCTTTACCCTAACCTCAAATTTACTAGATTGTGACATTATAGCTGGATTGGATAACAAAGCTCCAAATTAATACATAAAGCTATGGAAATGTGGTCAGTCAAGATACATTATGCTTAAATAAATCGTAAATAAATTAAATAATGCATACTTTCAACAATTGCTTTTGATGTTTGTAGCGTGCGTGCGTGAACGTAACTCGTAACTCAACACGAATCACGATCACGATATGCAGAATTGCAGATCGAATATTGATTGACCGACCACATTATGGTATAATAATAATATGTGTACTAGTACTGTAATACCATATCTATGCTATAGCATACCGAAATTCGAGGAAGCAAATTTTCGCAAACTGTGTCTTCTCACATTGCAAAAGCAAAGATCGAGTATAACTTTAATAAGTATTTTATACTTATTTGACAACCCCGTACCCGTACATGAAGGAGTGGTCGGGTACTCAGCTAGTAATTAATAAGCAAGCAATTTAGCCAATAAGCCAATCATCGGTCTCAGGTAAGAGACACGACTCTCGGCTTTTAAAACAATTATTTAAAATAACTTAGCGTTGGTCAGTGGAAGCATATTATATTTGTAGCCTAAAAGAGATGTAGTCCTGTACCTACTCAAAAATCACTGCGAGTATCAACGGATACACAGTATTAGCAGTAAATAATCCTGGCTTTGAATTGCAATACCTTCCATTAGATTATCATTTATAAATTGTACTTTAATTTAAGTACAGTGAAATTTGTTTTTTGTACCTTGATAATTTAATATTATTTATTAATAAATACACTTCTATAGATTTAGGCTCAGTGACACCTAGTGGTTACTAGACGAACTGTTGCGCGCTTTAGTTAGGGTGGTACATGCTAGTAGCGCTAGCGTAGTCGTCAAACACAGTACGTTGTCGATGTTTACTTGAACAGAACACCAAATAATATAAAAGTATAAATATTGTCATGTTAATAGTTTGAATCTTCGAATGAATTATCTGAGAGGTTCACGAGCTCGGGTTCATCGTAGTCCGTGCCCAAAATACGGGAAAAACCAGTATTTGCGCGGCGACTTTAAAAAATCGGGTTCACGATCTCGAGACTATATAAGCCGCGGACCAAACTGATATGCTCCTTAAAATTAGTGCAGGGATAAAACCTGGTTTTTAAAGTTGGGTTCCCGAGTCCAATTACAGATAGTCCCGGCACAGACAATATAATACTGTGGTCCCGGCTTTCGATCATTAGTCCCGGTGAGTTCACGAGTCAAGTCCGAGCTTAAAAGAGATGGTCCGAGCCCAGCGAGCAAGGTATACCATTCCTTGCTAGCTGGAATACATTCCATGGTATTCCTTGATCGCTGTCTGACTCAACTCAGACCTGGTATGAGGCAGGTTTAAGGTGACATCACGGAGTGTCATGCACGTGTAGTGTGTAAGCCGCTTTAGTCATCAAGCTAAAGAACACATAAATTGATATGACTTCAAACTGATGGTGTTTTCGACCTCTGGTGTCCTGGAAACGGAAAGGTAAATCGGTCCCGGGTCTAGGTCTTAAAATACGGAAATGGCTTATATCCTATAGGATAAAGTTTGCTTTTTAAAGGTACCAGAATTAACCATTTAATGATTAATAAGAATGTAAACTATGTTTTGAACAAAGCGAAATGAATCTATTTATTTATTATGCTGGTGCAATAATAATAGTAGGTTTACACGTTTGTCATAAAATCTGATGATTTTACTTGAGTTCGGTGCCCTGTCGGATGATGGACTATTCATTATCAACGAGTGTACGAAATTAATAATTTAGTGGATGTTGACGATTATGTTCATGACCAAGAAGACCAAGACGTCCAAGACAAGACGTAAACAAAACAAACGTAGCACTTTAGCACTGTATCAGCGGACGGCCAATGGGGTGGGTGGTAAGATGTCATACCGAATGGCATAGCTTATAATTGCGAATTTGTTCCATTGATTATTATCATGAAAATGTGGCGTAGCTTATAATGGGAATTTAAATTGTTTCATAACTTATAATCGTAGAAATGTGGCACAGCTTATAACATAAAAGTTTTCTTAAAATGTGGCATAGCTTATAACGGAATTGCTCAAAATGTGCTGCAGCTTATACAATCACGCCTGTCCTATAGGTTCTATAGCTTATAATTTCCAAAACAAGGCATAGATTATGGGAGGGAATGACGTCATCACTGACGGAACAGCTGATTGATTCTCAGTAAACAAACAAAATCGTGCAATTGACTTCAAATTATCGTATGGGCTACTGGGCTAGCAGCCGCAGCCCGTAGCCCTTGAATAATCGTACCCTTTAGGGTGTGAGACCCTCTCAAAGGTCTGGTCTAACAGTCGGGTTTTCCCATAAGAAATACATAGAACAAACTTAAAAAAAAAAAAAAAACAGCTGTTTATAAAAAGAAACTCATTAGCTTTTTGGACGTAAATTAATCTTTTGTAATATTCAGTAGTTAAAGACCAAGTTAAACAGTTAATCAGTTTTCTTGGAAGAACAGAAAATGCCTAAATTTCAAAGAAGAAATATTGAAAACGGGAGGAGCAAACAATTAATAATAAGATATCTTATGCGTATGAGGGGTGTGGAAAAAGGGAGGTCTGGTCTAACAGATACCCATCCAGATAAACATTCACTTGGTGAGATGAAAAATATTTGCCAGTTCTGCTATGCAACTCACTTTGGAAGTGAAAAAATATACGAAGCACATAGTGTTGTCACGGTGGTAGCACACAACTTGATAAAGTGGTCAGTTATATTTCCAATAATAAAATAGTTTTTAGTTTGTAATTTTTGATGGAAATAAATAATTTATCCATTTATTCATATAAAGGAAATAGGCCTATGCAAATGTGTAGCCTATAAAAGAAATAATAATCATACACTAGGTATAACATAAAAAAAAATATTTTAGGAGAAATCCAGCCAGCTAAATAGTATTTCGCTTAGTCTGAAGATTTGCTTCGGTGGGGGTATTTTTTTTATTTTTTAAGTTTTTGGAGTAAGTAGTTGAAAATGGCAACAGCCGAAACGCGCGTGCTACAAAGTTTCATCAAGACGCAAGAATCAAGTGCGAATATACGCGAAACTTATATTTAATTTACTTGACCGATAAATACTATATTTATTAGGGCCTATATATTTAAAATTTAGGCCTCATATTTATGTTTTGTTTAAAGTTTTATTTACTTTTGAGGAAGCAAAAATATTTGTATTGAACTAATAACATAATCTCATATGGTGATTTTACGCAGGATTACCATATTTCACAACATCAAACTATTTTTACTGAGTATTCATTTTCGTCTACAGTACAAATCAATGCCTATATCTACCTTTATCTTACCTACCTATAATTTTTGTTCTTTTAAAAAGTTCGGTCCCCACACGTCAGTGCCCTGCATTATTGTCTAGTTAGATCAGGTACAAGTTGTAAGAAGCCGAGATGGACGGGTTTTGGACAGCAAGACGTTAAACTTGTCCAGATAAGTGGACAATGATGGACGACAAAGCCAAGTAATCTGTTTCTTGTAGAGGCTTGGACAAAACATGATTGAATACATTTAAAACACATTATTCTCTTATATAAAAACAGCTCTAAAAACAAGACAACGTTATATGAAGATCGAACAACATGATTGTAATTTGTAAGTACTGTTGTAAATGATTTTTTCTGGTCTTTTGTTTTTAACCTATGTAATCGTGTTTTATGTAATCGCCATTTTTTAATCGTGTGGGTAATTAAACCCACAATTAATTAATTAGCAAGACAATAGCAATTCAATAGCAAACTCAACCTTGATAACAAATGTTGTGTTAAAATACTCTTGATTTTGGGGTTTTTTCAGAGGAGGGCTGCCACTATTTAAACTGTGAAAACCCCGCATTTTACGTTAGGTTAGTTTATAGCTTTACTCACACTTATTTTATTTACCAGGTAATCATTTGAAAACTATTTAATCGCATAGGGAAACTTTAAAATAGTGGAAACCCTCTTCTGAAAAAAAAAACAGATTTTTATTACCCTAGTAAATGGCATGTGACAAATCTTGATTTTAAGTCTGCCTTCATATCAAGTGTTATTTGATAGTTCCCGAGAGGCTTGTGAAGTTATACATTTAATGATAACTTCACGTTATTCATTTTATTTTTGGTTTCTCATTCAAATTCATGAGGATATAAAACAGAAATTAAAATCGTCTGTCGTGTTTTTTTGTCATTATTTAAATGTCAGCTATTTAAAGCTAACTAAAATATCATTAGGACTGCGTTTACAATATGTCGTACTGAATAGATTGGGCTAAAATACATGTTCATCAAACGCCAAATTCCGGATGTACAGTTCCCATTTGTCCATACAAATAATATTTTAGCACGTTTTGATACTAGTCGCCTTTGATACACAATGGGAATGCCTTTAATTCTATAAAAATTATAATAATTGTTTGTTAAATACTTAATACGATGCAGTTTTTTTTTCTGTAATATGCCTTTATCACCGTTGGTGACTTAGCCGATTTTATTCAAGCTTTTTTATTTGGAAATTGCTCATAAAATACAGTTATAGACCACGTCAGATTATTAAGTTAGGCTAAATATCAAAATGTTTTAAATCATTCAAAATATTGGAAATTTAAATTCCCATGTAATTTTTATGGAGAACAACAAGTAAACTGTTATAGTGGATATATTTTTATCAAACTTGGCAAATTAATTTATTTTATACTAGGATATCAATATTAAAAAACACACACCTTATTACCCTCCCTGAACCTTATTGAATTAAAATTGATTGAAACTTAGGCTTTCGTTAAATATTTAAATATATTTAAGTGGAAATACAATCTGGCAAATTGAATTTCACTTAGTCTGCAGATTTTCTGCGGCGTGGGTATTTTTATGCCAGTCGCCTAAAAGACAGGATATGGAAATTCTAACTCTATCAAATTGCCCATCAAAATACTGATTTACACCACTTTTCGATGACAGCCCCCTTAATAATACGATGAAAACTCCCGTAGTAACGGATTCCCCATACATAGTAAATATTTCATCACTTTTTTATGTTTGTCAGAAATATTCTGTTTCCATTCTGGAAACTCCTTTAATTCTAGCAAATTCCACATCCAGATAATAAATATTGCATCACTTTATATGTCAGCCCCCGCTGTTAAGACAGGTTGCAGGAGGCGTAGGCGCGATCTTGGGGTAGAAATGATAAGATATTGGAGTTGGTGACGTTATGACTGACAGGCGGTAGGCCTACCAGCTAAGGGGTGTTCCATAATATTATTTTCACTTGAAAAATTATATTTCTGGTGTATAAAACATGCAGAGCATTGTTATAAAATGATATATTATCGAGTTGTGAATCAGTTAGTAATACCAATAACCTAAATATCCGTAAGTAGATATATCGTTGTATTAGTTGGTAGGAAAGCCATTGAAATAAAACAGAAAACTTATATTTTACCTTTTTTCCAAATACAAGTTCGTTTTAACTCTGTTGAAATGGCA